GATCCTGACTGACAGCAGGGCTGAGGGAAGATTGAAGCATGGGGACTCTGTCAAGGGTGCCTGTCTCTCTCTATTTCTCAAGAAATAAATAAATAAACTTCTAAAAACCCGAACAACTTGAATAACCATTCTCTCATTTTCTTTTATCTTATTTTATTTTTTTTTTAAGACAAGCTCTTGCTGTGTCATAATCCTCCTACCACAACTTCTCAACTGGAACTACAAGCTCTGGCTGTGTCACAATCCTCCTGCCACAGCTTCCCAACCACCACACCCAGCTCATTTTTTAGGCAGGGTCTCCCTTTGTTGTCCAGGCCAGCTTCCAGCTCACAAGGATCCTGCCTCAGCCTCCCAGGTCACTAGGAGTATAGGTGTATGCCACTGCAACCAACCTTTAAGCTAAACCAGGAATCAAACCTAGGCCTTCCATGAGGTCCCAGTCTATGAAACACAGTGTCTTAGCACACTAGCCTCTGTAGCTAGGTCAGCAGCTGTTTTTTTAAAAAAGAGGAAAGGCGTTTTAAAAAATCGTTCAGTGGGGAACCAGCAGTTGGCTTAATGCCTATGTTGCTGGACTCCCATGTAGTCAACCGCGGTTCGAGTCCCAGACCTGGTGGCCTAAACTCACCAGGCATGTGTGCATTCATGCCAAAGATCCCAAGAGAATGGAGAAAAAGGGATAACATGGCCATCCCCCGCTGGGGGGGGGAGTGATTTCTCGCTTTCTGTCTCTCTGTCTCTGTCTCTCTCTGTCTTCCTGGCGAGTGCACACATCCTATAGCAAAAACCTCTCCACACACACAAAAAAAATCATTCAGTGGTAAATGATTTTCAAAATGCTGCTCTTTTTGTTATCTTCCAAGTTGGTCATGTACTTTTGTTATGTTAATTTTGGAGAAATAAATCTGAATTACACTTTACAGTAAAAAAGTAAAAAGCAAGTATGTATATATGTATAATATATACAAATATGTAATAATAGGAACTACCCCAAAATACTCACTATTTTCATCTCTGGGTAGTAAGGTCTTAGGTAACTTTTTCAAAAATAAATTATTTTAAATACATGCTCAGGGGCTGGCAGGTGGTGTGGTGGTTAGGGAACTGAACTGCCAAATTATCAACCGTGGTTTGAGTCCCAGACCTAGCAACTTGATTTCTCACTTTCCCTCTCTCTCTGTCTTTCTCTCTCTCTCTCTCTTACTGTGTTCTTTTCTGGACAAATTAAAGTAAAATAAATAAGTAAATTAAAAAATAAATAAATTGAGTTTTAAGAGAAATGCATTTTTATGAGTCCTAATGATCATAATTGTGAAAATTATAACTGTACAAATTAGCTTACTGCTTTAAAAATGAGGAGCTTGAGCAACTTTAAAAAGTACTTGGTTTTCTTAGTAATCTTATTTTTTACTTAGAAAATTTTCAAGAGCCAGCCAAAGGTTAAGTCAGCTGGATCTCACATGACTGACTCTGAGGTTCAAGTCCCAGACCTGGTGCCTTGAAAATCATGTCAGGTGTATGTGCGTGAATGCCCAAAGTTCCCAGAAGAGAATGGAGGAGGGACCAGAAGTTAGCATGATGGCTATGTGGCTGGACTCCCATGTAGTTGACTGCGGTTTGCGTCCTGCACCTGGTGGCTTAAAACTCATGCCGGGCGTGGATGCGTGCATGCCCAAGATCCCGAGAGGAGAATGGAGGTGAAGCGACTGAGGCTTGGCCATCCTCCCTGGGGATGATTTCTCACTTTCTGTCTCTCTGTCTCTCTCTGTCTGTCTGGCAAGTGCACACGCCCTATAGCAAAAACCTCTCCAAAAGAAAAAAAAAAGAGAGAGTATGGCGGAGAAGGAATTGTGGCATGGCCATCCTACTTGGGGGGGAGGGGGGACTGTGCTTTCTCATTTTTCTCCTCTGCTCTGTCTCTGTCTTTTTCTCTCTGTGGTGAATGCACATACCTTCTAGCAAAGCTAAAAAATAAAAATAAAAAATTTTCATCAAAAATGTATTGAATTCCTGTTATGTACCCCATTATAAAAATTGACATACATGATTCAGATCTGCCATGAACAAAAAGTAACCTAAATTTTTGTTTGTGAAAAATTTTTTCCTTTATTGTGTATTTGTTGACATTGTATGACAACATCAAAAGTAAGTGTTGCTTAGCAAAATGTATTAATTCTTCTCCTGAATTTTGAATAGTTGTTTATTAACGTTTTCTCTGTAGCATTCTCAGCTCAACTAAATCCAAAAAAATTCATTTGAAACACTATAACCCTCAACACTTTAGTTCTTAGTTTTATGAGTATTATAATGAGAAACAGCAATTTCAATATTCCAAAAGTGAATTTTACAAAATAAAAAATATAGAGCTGAATGAGTCTGTTAACACCATTTATTGTAATCCTATATTCTAATAATATACTTATTTATTACTATATATTGATAAGTATTATTATACACAGGGCACTTACTAGGTGTAAAATACCATTACAAAATATTTTCCATATCGAATTTATTTAATTCTCAAAAAACTAGGTATCACTTTTATCCTTATTTTACGGGCAATAAAAGAGAACTGGGGGACCAGCAGATGGTGTATTAGTTAAGTAGCTGGATTCCCATGTTGTTGACCATAGTTCATGTCCCAGATCCGGTGGCTTAAAACTCACATAGAGCATGTGTGAGTGCACAGCCAAAATCCCAAGAGCAGAATGGAGGAGAGAGAATGTTGTTTTCTATCTCTCTGTCTTTCTGGCAAGCACATACACCCTCTAAAGTCTCTCTTGAAAAGAAAAGAAAGAAAAGAAAAAGAAGGAAAAGAAAGAAAAGAAAAGAAAAGAAAAGAAAAGAAAAGAAAAGAAAAGAAAAGAAAAGAAAAGAAAAGAAAAGAAAAGAAAAGAAAAGAAAAGAAAAGAAAAGAAAAGAAAAGAAAAGAAAAGAAAAGAAAAGAAAAGGAAAGGAAAGGAAAGGAAAGGAAAGGAAAGGAAAGAAATGAAATGAAAAAAAGAAGAAAGAAGAAAAGAAAAAAGAAAAAGAACTAGATTAAAACTAAGATGAGTAGGCCAGGCTCCTAGCCTAGTGGCTGAAGTAATATTCCACATGATCTTCTGTGGATATGAATCCCAACACTGGGGGCATGAGAAACATCCCAGGTACCATGCGCATGATGGCCCAAATTCCAATAGAATGGAAAAATGAAGAAGGAATTGTGGCCTAACCATGCCCCACTGGAGATACTTTTCTCCCTTGCTTACTGCTGTTTATTTTTCTCTGGAAAGTGCAAGAATTCTCAAGCAATTGAAAAAAAAAAAAAACTAAAAAAAGTCAGAGACAGCAAAAAGAAAAGAAAAGAAAAGAAAAGAAAAGAAAAGAAAAGAAAAGAAAAGAAAAGAAATGAAAAAAAGAAGAAAGAAGAAAAGAAAAAAGAAAAAGAACTAGATTAAAACTAAGATGAGTAGGCCAGGCTCCTAGCCTAGTGGCTGAAGTAATATTCCACATGATCTTCTGTGGATATGAATCCCAACACTGGGGGCATGAGAAACATCCCAGGTACCATGCGCATGATGGCCCAAATTCCAATAGAATGGAAAAATGAAGAAGGAATTGTGGCCTAACCATGCCCCACTGGAGATACTTTTCTCCCTTGCTTACTGCTGTTTATTTTTCTCTGGAAAGTGCAAGAATTCTCAAGCAATTGAAAAAAAAAAAAAGACTAACAAGAGTCAGAGACAGCAAATTCATCCAGTTAGTAAGAAAATGAAGACAGAACTTATTATTTTTCTTTTCTTAAAACAGTAACAGAAAGAATTTTAGAAGTGGAGGAAGATTTCAGTTTAGTCTACTCTCTCATTCTTCAGGTGAGATGGGTGAGACATGTAGAAGGTAAGTGTCTTCCCCATTCTTTACATCTCTTTTATAATACACACTATTACAGCATTGGAAATATTGTCCCCTAGTGCAATAGATGCTGCTCGGGGGGTCACACAGAGATCCCATCCTAGCGATAATGCCTCTGTTCCCTCGACAGCGTTGGCTACTAGGTGTCCACATCTGCCCTCTTTTCAAGAGAACTGCCCTCTTTTCAAGAGAATTGTCCTTGGCCCATGGGAGCCACGTTGCTAGGGAAGTCTCTTCTTTTTTTTTTTCCCCTTGGAAAGGTTTTTGCCATAGGGCGCATGCGTTCGCCAGACAGACAGAGATAGACAGAGAGATAGGAAGCGAGAAATCCCCCCCCCAGAGGGGATGGTCAAGCCGCAATCCCTTCTCCTCCATTCTCCTCTCGGGATCTTGGGCACGCACGCACCCGGCGTGAGTTTAAGCCACCGGGTCGGGGACTTGAACCGCAGTTGACTACGTGGGAGTCCAGCGACATAGCCATTACGCTAACTGCTGGTCCTGGGAAGTCTCTTCTTTACAAGGCAGGTAATGACCGACTGATCATAGGTTTCTAATGTCTGCAGCACTCCCCCTTTATCAGGAAGGCTAGATTTGCCAGAGATCACATTCTTCCTTAGCTCTTTGTCTTTTCCTGTTCTGCTTCACTGCCTCCCTTACAGCTTTTTTGCTTAACTGCACTTCCTCAATAAAACACAGGCAATCTAATCTTTCAGAATCTTCTTCTAAGGAACTTGACCTAAGACACACATACGTGTGTGCGTGTGTGTGTGCACAGAAATGCCAAAAAGGCCATGCTCAGAAGCTACTGTGTCTGAGAAGAGAGAATGGCTGGCTAGGGAAGGAACAGAAGCTTTACTTATTTATTTTATTTAGGTTTATTTATTTATTCCATTAGAGAAGGAGAGAGAGACAGAAAAAACAATGAAAGAGATTAATGTCTCTCTGAGGTAATGTTATGTTGCATTTTATATAACCAGAAAATAAGTTAATACAGAAGAAACTGAAATGGCAACTAGTAGAGGTGTCTTTGTCATTGCACTTAAGAAAGAAAAAAGATTTACTTATCCTTTTTTTTTTTTTTTTTTTTTTTTTTAACCACATCAGGCGCTGGCCCCGCCATGGCATTCTGAAAGACATCGAGGCCCTGTATTTTCAAGGCCCTGTATATCCAAGTAAGGTAATCTCCAAAACAAGAAAGACTAACAGATTGTTGCTATATGTTTTAGATCTCTATAAGAAAACATTGCCTTTTCTAGAGTTCACAAAAATTATAAACTTAGTTTTACTCTTACAAAGTAACCCTGAAAGCTCCAATGTGATAAGAATCCACTGGTCATCAATTTTCAAAGTATTCATTGGCAAAAATACAAATGCAGTATGCTAATATATATGTCCCACCAATAAACACACGAAAGCAAAATCTGATACAGAAAATGTATTTTCAAAAGCTATCTGGAGAATCACCAAGTGATGACAAAATTATGGTTAAACAACCAGCAGTGAAATTTGAGACTGCTGGTATGACAAATCCTGTTTCAGACCTTGTTGACTTAGATTCCTTGCACAACTAGAATTTACCAAAACAGGAAATAGGTATAATATATATACTGCCCTAACCTTCTGTCTCTTCACCTTTCTTCTTCCAACAGATAAAAGAAATACTGCATCCTGTTCTGAAAACCAACGGTAAGTAAAAATGCCTTTATTCCAAGATGAGCATTATATTATGTCAATACATTTATGCATAGTTGGCTGCAAAGCAAAATACGTGGAGTTTGTCTATGATTTTCAAAACCCTATTGATAACGTTTATTGAGAGTAATTAAGTTAATATATTCTTTTAAGCTAAGAAAGTGACATATAACTAGCTCTATTATTCCCAAAACACCTTTTATCCAATTTGATATTGTGATAGCTTATCTTTCACTTTAAAATAAGTACTGTAATGAATTTCTATCTATGACTTGTAGAAACAGTTATACTGAAACTTTTAGTAGAAAAATGAAATATGATGATTATATGTGCGTGCACACTTCTTTCTACATTAGTAATTTTTACTAATACTAACACATAATACAGATATTATTAAAATAAAGGAGGCCATTGCTAACAGTTTTAAATTGATCAAAGCAAAATCATAGCAAGTATTTTTATTAAAGATTATTGATGAAAAATACAAATTACCCCAAGAAATGCACTCAAAAAAAAAAAAAAAGAAAGAAAAAAGCTTAATAACAGTTACCCAGTCCATCTCCCCGGGCAGCCACAGTTACGTAGAATAAGTTAAATATAATGTCTACTGAGCATATTTTACAAAAGAAAGCAATTACTACATAGATTATTATATTTTTTGGCAAAGAAGAAGTGATTCTGGAGAAACAGACATTAGGAGATCACAGAACTATTTAATGGCAACACGAAAGAAGTATTTACCACTAGAGGGAAGATTTCACTTCCAAAAGCTGTTTCATTAATGCTTTTGTCCCCTATGGTTAAATGCTATCCAGGAAGCCTAGGAGTACTCACACTATTGCCAGAGAAGATTCAGTGTTGCCTTTTCTGCTAGTTAAGCCCAAACTTGGACTGGCTGCCTTTTTAGACGAAAGCTCTGAAGGCAAACCAAAAGAGATTAAATTGATGACAAGTTTCCAACCCTCCAGCTATTCTGTAAGGATGAGGTAAAGGAGGCTGCTGAATCAAGCTCAGATTTGCATGAAGCAGGGTTAAATTGAAAGGAAAAGTATCATATCTCTCCAGTAGTGGAAAACCAGTTACTGCTGAGAATTTCAGTGACATTTCTTAGTAAATTCAAGTAAAGAGGAGGAAATAATAAAGAATAAAGAATAAAACGGAGCTTTTCAGGATCTGACAAGACAGCTATTCTTATTTAGATATCTTGGCAGCTTTGCTATACAATAATGTCTAGCAGCTTTGCACACTCTGTGCATTGTCATAAGCTGCTTTCTGTGTCACCCGTGGGCTGAAACAAAGTGATTGGAAGGAAGATTGACTACCACATTTACCGTTAGAGAACATTGCATCAGATATTCTTCTGTGCTGTGGCTAGTAGAGAAACATGTCTATGACTGTTAGGTTGTCAGGAAAACCATGACGTATTTTTCTATGCAAAAATGAATGATGACTTCCCTGAAACCCAATATAATGTACACATTACACGCTCATATTAAAGCTTTCATTATGTCCTCTCTGGTATGCACAGTTTTTAAAACCATCCTTTTATCCCCCTCATTCAGGAACCAGGTCTTTGAAGCATAACAGTCTGGGTTTAGCCCTACTTCTTCTTGTGAGTTTACGGCATTTATCATTAAATCTCTAAACAAAACTGCTCATCTGTAAACAGGGATATCGAATAAGAGTGACAGTGCCCGGCACAAAACACATGAGCACTATGACATTAGTGCGTGTGGCTCAGTTAGGGCTAATATGGTCTTGAAAATAATTGCATATAAATTATGTTGTCTATTTATAGATATAATTCATCAACATTCTCTTTTAAAGGAAAAGAGCAAGCTATCTTTTGGGGCTAGTCTATAGCCTGGTGGCCAAGGTAAATGGATCCCACGTGGCCAGCTGCGCAGTTTGAGTCTCAGACTTTGAGGCTTGAAAAATACACCTGGTGCATGTGCCTGTGTGCCCAAAATCCCAACAGGAGGGAGAATTGGAGAAGGAATTGTGTGGTGACCATTACTTTACTCCTTTTTCACTCTCTCTCTCTCTCTGTATCTTTCTCTCTGGGAAGCACAGCCTGTACCCTCTGACAATATTAAAAAAGCAAATTATCTTTCTCCAAATAGTGATCCAACTTTCCTAGCAGCATGTGCAAAACAAGCTTTTCTTCCTCTGGTGCTTTTTAATACCACCTTGTTTGTTCTCTTTATTAAACTTTCTATCTAATTACATCAGTTCATTTGTATGTTCCTATAATAATAGCAATTTTTTATCAACAAAGATTTGAAGTCTATCATAATAACTTATAATGGAAAGATACCTTAATTAATTCTTCATTTAAAAGTTATTTAGTTATTAGGGATCAGCAGTTAGCGTAATGGCTGTGTCGCTGAACTCCCACGTAGTCGACTATGATTCATGTCCCGGACCCGGTGGCTTAAACTCATGCCGGGCGCGTGTGTGTGGGTGCCCAAGATCCCGAGAGGAGAAAGGAGGAGAAGGGATTGCAGCATGGCCATCCTCCCTGGGGGTGATTTCTCACTCTCTGTCTCTCTGTCTCTGTGTCTTTCTGGTGAGCGCACACGTCTGTAGTAAAATCCTCTCCCCCCCCCAAAAAAAAAGTTATTTAGTTATTTATGGACCAACCAGAAATTCTTATTGGAATTATAAATAATTATCAGATTAGTTTAATTAGGATTGATATCTTTATTATGCTAACATAAACCATTTAAGAGCATAAAAGAACACCCAATTTATTCAGCTCTTCTATACTGTTCTTTATGAGAACTCTAGTTTTCTCCAACGGAGATTTTTTTTATCCTTAGTTGCTTCCTAGACACTTTTTTGTGAATTACTATCATGAATTTTTAAGTGTTTTTTGTTCATTTTTTGTTTGTTTGTTTTGGTTCCATGTTGCTGATATACAGCGATTACATTTTTGTAAGCTGATCATGCACCTAGCAAACTTGTTGATTATGGCATGTTCTCTAGATAGATAATCACATAATTTGAAAGCAGAAACAATTTCACCTCTTCCCATATAAGACTTACAAATGTGCTATATATATATATATATATATACACACACACACATTATATATATGTGTGTGTGTGTGTGTGTATATAGATATATATAAAATATGAATGTGTCTATATATTTTTTCTTTCCTTAAGATTTATTAGTATGGTATTTAATAATAGTATTAGTCATTCTTTTCTTGTTCTCGATATTAAATATAATTCCAATAATCATTATTTGTTATAGGTATTAATTGCATTATTGCTACCAACTTAATAATCTTCTTTATTCTTCACCATTCTTTTTAAAGTTATATGTAAGAATTGAATTTAATAATGTAATTTTTTTTTTGTTTTGGAAAGGTTTTTGCCATAAGGCACGTGCGCTTGCCAGACAGAGAGACACAGAGAGAAAGAAAGCGAGAAATCACCCCGCAGGGGGGATGGCCACGCCGCAATCCCCTCTACTCCATTCTCCTCTCAGGATCTTAGGCACGCACGCACATGTGCCAGGCGTGAGTTTTTTAAGCCACCGGATCTGGGACGTGAACCGCGGTCGACTACGTGGGAGTCCAGTGACAAAGCCATTACGCTAACTTCTGGTCCCAATAATGTAATTTTTTTGTCATAAGATTTTTCTGTAATCTATGAATGTGATGAATTACACCAAAGAATTTTCTAAGTTTTTAAGAATTATTTTATTTAACTATTTATTTATTTTAATTTGACCAGAGAGGAACAGAGCATGAGAGAGAGAGAGTGAAAAAGCAAATTGCCCAGTTCAGGACTCAAACTACAGTCATCCATATGGGAGTCCAGAGACCTTAACCACCACACCACCTGCCAGCCCCAAATTTTCCAATTTTTTTATCATCTTTGCAGTCCGATCTAATATTACTTGAGTATTTTTTACGTCTTTTTATAATTGGAAAGTTAATATTTTGTTAGGACTTTTGCATTTCATATATGCAAAACAGCCATATGTATTATTTACTATTCCCCCTATCTATTTTAGGAGTCAAGCCTAGAATCATTTCCATTCACTGCCACTTCTCAGGTTACAGCTTAGGAAGAAACAGAATTGAGAGGAAGTGGTCAGACTCATTATTCACACAGCTCTAGTGGGTGAGAAGGAAGACAGGAGGAACCATAATAGCACAGAGGAGTGCTGTATTAAGAGTGCTGTTACTCGGGACCAGCAGTTAGCGTGATGGCTATGTCACTGGACTCCCACGTAGTCAAGCGCGGTTCGAGTCCCGGACCCGGTGGCTTAAATTCACGCCGGGCGTGTGTGCGTGAGTGCCCAAGATCCCGAGAGGAGATTGGAGGAGAAGGGATTGTGGTGTGGCCATCCCCTCTGGGGGGTGATTTCTCACTTTCTGTCTCTCTGTCTCTCTCTGTCTGTCTGGTGAGCGCACGTGCCCTATAGCAAAAACCTCTCCAAAAAAAAGAGTGCTGTTACTAACTAGTGCTAGTATACATGTATATATATATATGGATTTTTATCAGTTCTTCACCCCAATGGCTTATGTGTTTCCCTGATACTATCATGCTCGCTTACAGCACCAGAACAAGTGCTTATTCTGTTACTACAGAGTTTTGCAATAAAGGGGAAACAATGATTGTCTTACGGTAAGAGCGGGAACGAAAAGGAATTACTTGCACCACACCCTGAGGCTAGCCACTGCCCTGGGATGCAATTCTCTCCTCCACATCATCATCATTTTACACACACACACACACACACACACACACACACACATCCATGAACACATAATAGAGGTCATGAAAAACTAATTTATTCTACACAGGTTTTTCTTGCCTTTTGTTATTTTATTAGAATCCGTGTTTCCTCTTGCTTGTGTAATTCCTTCAGAGCTACTTTTGTCATGGTAGCAAGAAGCACCCCCATTTTAACATCTTGACATTAAAATAGAAGCCAAACACGTTTGCTTTTTAGATAGACTACTTGGTGACTTCTCTCCTTAGCCACAAAGAAACCTTTTCCTACTTTATGATTTGCCAATTATTTCCACAAAGTGGACCTTGAAGACCAAGAATACTATAATTTTTGTAAATGTTTGTTTTTTATTAATTAATATGGAGAGATTTCATGTGAATTGAGAAAATCATTTCTTTTCTATTTCAGGTGAATTTTTTGAACGTAATGGTAGTCCTAATTCCATGTCAAGAAGGGGTTAGTTAGATATTACGGCTTCATTGCATCTTATGTTTCAAAATGACTTAATTTGCTCTGCTGTAATTAGATAGTAGCAAACCAACAACACCTGACATTACAAATCTTTGAAATCCCTAGATTGGGCTTTTCTCTAGCACTTAGGAGAAATTACTAATCTCTTTGAAAAATGAAAAACACAGACAACTGAACAAAAAAGCATGTAAAAAGAGGCAATCAGAGACTTGCATGTAGCAAGTTTGTTCCTAGAAGACAGTGGAGAAGATGTGTAACTTCACACGTTTGAAAATTTCTGCATGCAAGTAGATGACAGGAAAAGGCAGTTACTTTCCTTTTGTAAAAAAAAAAAATATTATTTTATTTATTATCATTATTATTTTTTAAATTTGCTACAGGGAATGCACACTCGTCAGAAAGAGAAAGAGAGAGAGAGGAAAAGTGAGAAAACAAGCCTCCAGGTCTGGGACCTGAACCACTGTCAGCCATGTGGGAGTCGAGCGCCCTCACTACCATGCCACCCGCTGGCCCCAAGGCAGTTATTTTGTTCATTCTTATGAAAGACTTCTGTGTGGCTCTATCAACTGGAACTGTAAACAAACTATATTCCACTTGCATCTATTTACCACAGCCCCTGGGGAGGTATGTTAAGGTGGTGATAAATGTTTTGGTCTTAGAGCTAATGATGGATCTTTACCATGTTGACCCCATCTGAAAAACTTATTCCCAGAGTTCCCAGGTGTGCTATATTCTTCACCACCTCTCTCCAGAAAGAACTGGAATGGGTCAAGGTAAAAATAAATCAAACTCTGCACTCCATTTTTGCACACATGGGAAAATTCAACCCGTCCTCAATCTGGGCTCTTTCATGATGGGCTCCCCTAATGATGTGCTAGGACTCTGAAAACAGGAGTCATGTCTAGTCACTTCATCATGTTCCACAATATGTAACATGCTATCCCAATACAGTATGGAAAACTTGATCAATGTCTGTTAAAAGAAAGAACAATGCCTAATTGTCATCGACTGGCAAAACAAAACCAAAAAAATAAAATAAAATAATAAAAAATGAACAAACAACAATGAAGGGTCTGTTTTTCTCTTCTGCCCTCTAATTCTCCAGGATGCTCACTTTTTTTTTTTTTTGAGAGGATTTTGCCATACGGCACGTGCACTCGCCAGACAGATAGAGAGAGACAGAGAGACAGAAAGCAAGAAATCACTCCCCCAGGGGGGATGGCCACGCCGCAATCCCTTCTCCTCCATTCTCCTCTTGGAATCTTGGGCATGCACACACACGCGCCTGGCATGAGTTTTAAGCCACCAGGTCCAGGACTCGAACCACAGGCGACTACACGGGAGTCCAGCGACATAGCCATTACGCTAACTGCTGGTCCCTCCAGGATGCTCACTTGAGTTCATTATCATAGATCCATTTCTGTGGTGTTTGCTAGGACAGGGTCCCCAAGTCTCAGGCTACAGACCAGTACCAGACTGTGGCCTATTAAGCACCAGGCCACATAGCAGGAGGAGAAGCAGGTGAGCAAGGGAAGCTTCATCTTATTTACAGCCTCTCGCCATCACTCCGTTACCCCCTGAGCTCAATCTCCTGTCAGATTAGAAGAGGTATCAGATTCTCGCAGGAGCACAAACTTTATTGTTAATTGCACTTGCAGGGGATCTGGGTTGCGTGCTTTCATCAAGCAACCCAATCCCATCCATGGAAAAAAAAAATACATCTTCTGTGAGACCAAGGTCTTAATACCACTATGCAATAAAATGTCCTCTATCACTTATCTTTAAATTGACCCCAAATGCCATCTCATGGGGTTGCCATATATCAATGAGTGAAACAAAGTTACTCTGTGATATGGATGCTGGGTGGTATCCAGAAGTAACCGGCTCTCCCAGTGCCTTACTTAAACACACTTGCCTGCACGTAGATCTATAGAGCCAGAGGATTTCAAATTACTACATGTTATGAACCTTGGAACCCACTCAGAAATAGCCCTTAGGTATTAAATATAAAAAATGTGTGGGTCCAAACAATGCCGTAACAGTAACACAATGCTCTGCAAGGCAGACTCTCTTGGGAAGGTCCAGAGACCTCCCTGAACATGCTGGGCCCATGATCAGGGCTGGCTAAACCTGGGAGTGGGTTGCAGTTAATACCTTGTCAGTGATATCTGTCTCTGTGTCGCTCTGTCTCTCTCCCAGTCTCTCTGGCTCATCAAAGAATCATGAAAAAAATAGAAGAATGTGCATGAATTTGGTTGAGCTGCATACAAAATGCCACAGGTTGGGAGACTTGAGCAATAGAAATGTATTTTCTCACAGTTCTGGACACTAAAAGTCTGAGATCAAGAAGGCAATATAGTTATGGTTTCTGGTGAGAGCTCTCTTCCTGAGTTGCAAATGGCCGCCTTCTCACTGTGTCTTCACATGGCCTCTTGTTCCTGAATGTATGGAAAAAAGAGAGAGAAAACAACACATGCTCTGGTTTCTATTTTTATAAGGACACTAGTCCTATTGGGCCAGGGCTCCACCCTTAAGACTTTGTTGAAACTTAATCATTTTCTTTGATATTCCATCTCCAAATATAGGGCATAGACATATGAATTTAAGGGTGGAAGGAATGTGACCAGAAGACCCAGGATTTACTATATACTATTTGATGTTCTGCCTTTTTGTATTTTTTTCTTTCATGAGCAAAAGAAACACAGAGAGGAAGAGAGAGCTTGCACCCCCAACGGTCTTGACATCCCCCCCTTCAACCAGCCCTGGATCGTGGGCAAGTGAATACTCCGCAAACTCAGGGAGTTCTCTGGACTTGAACTGGAACCTTCTCATGTGGAATTACTTCACAGAGCATTGTGTTTTACTGCGATGTCACAGTCTGGCCCTGGGTTTTTAAACTTAACTTCGAAGCATAGACATTTCCCTTGCTGTTACAAAAACATAAACTTATAATAATTGTATGTCCAATCTACTGCAATAAAAGGGTGCGTTCTAACTTATTAGGCACTTTATCTCCCTTTCTCCCTATTTTGAGCATGTAATTAATTTGTATGTTTTTACCCTTACAAATAATAACGTGATAAAATATATGCCTCAAGCTTTCTCAGTTTATTTCATTAGGATTCAAAAAAACTGAATTAGTGAAGCAAAGGATATTAACATATTTGGGCTATTAATACTGATGGTGTTAGCTACCCCTTAAAATGATTCTTTCTGGTTTAAAAATTCAGAAAGACAATGTAGCCTTTTTGGGATTTAGAGCATGATATTAAAGTTAAAGATCTGAGCAAGAGCTAGTTAGCACACGGATAGCATGCACAAAATTGAGGAGAAGAGTTGTTTTTGTTTATTTTTTAGTTCACTATCGGGTGCATGTACTCACCTGAGAAAGACAGGGAGAGAGAGAAAAAGTGAAAAACAACTCTCCAGTGGGAATGGCCATGCCACAATCCCTTCTCCTCCATTCTTCTCGGGATTTTGGGCACACGTGCATGTTTTCCAAGCCATTTAATCCCAGACTAGAACTACATAGTTGAGCCACGTAGGATCTAGCCACATTAACCTCCATGCCACCTGCTGGCCTAAGCAGATTTTTCTGACAATTTACCTAGGGTTGTAGGAATGACAAGTGTATGAACCAGAATCCTGACAGAATCGTGAAAGAAACTATGCATGCTAACTTCTAGTTTAAAGAGATACTAACGAGATGATACTTACGAAAGGGTAGACAGGGTTTAAGGGAACCAGCAAAGACTAATGCAGTAATGCCTTAGTACCAACAGTTGGGAGTTCTTACTACTCCTGATCGGCAGTGTGTAGCAGTTATTTTTAGAACCTAAAGAGAATAGCAACATAGATAACATTGTGTATCTGGGGAGCAAGGGGGTAGTATGTTCTCAGCATTTATAAGTGTGCTTCAAGGGCTTCGGTTTGCTCTTCACTGTCCCCCTCAGAGATGGGCTTCTGGAGCTGAGGCGCTATCATTCTGCTGGCACCATGTGACCATTCTCTCGTCTCACTGCCAATGACTTTGAGAGAACAGAGACCAGTGCATTTTCTCCCTGTCATGCTACGAAGAAGTTCGTGTACTAAATATTTCAATGTAGTTTTTTGTGCTTTTTGTTTTTCCCCAGCAATGGCATCATTTGTGATGCTGGCCTTCCTGGCGGCTGTGCTGCTCCCTTTTCCTGCAAACGGACACGAGGTATGGTGAAGCGGAATGTCTTTTATAGCATTTCAGGTGACCTTGAGGGATTGCAAGTTACTGTATCAGTCTTCAAAAGTGAAAAAGAAGAGAGTGTCTGGTGCATCACTGAGTTCTCATTGGTAGCTCAGGGTAGTTAATATAATTAAGTTTAGGGTAGGGCCTGCAGCCTAGTGGTTAGGGAAGCCACATTACACATGGCCAATTGTACGGTTTGACTCCTGGCTCTGATGGTTTGAAAAACACAGTAGGTATGTATCTGTGCATGCTTCAAATCATGACAGGACAGAAAAATGGAGAAGGGGCTGCAATTTGACCATGCAGGTCAAATCACACTAGGGTGTGATTTCTCCCCCTCTCTCTCTGTCTCTGTCTCTCTGGTGAGCACACGTGCCCTCTGGCAACTAAAAATAAAAACATTAAGTTTAAAGCTGTGGTGATCAGTATGGTAGTCCCTAGTCGCAATAGGCAACTGATTTTCAGAAATACAGTTTGTCTAAATCAAGATGAATGTAGAATCACTGGACTTCCACATGGCCTACTGTGGTTCAAATCCTGGACCCAGCAGCTTAAACTCATGCCAGGCGCGTGAGCATGCCTGCCCAAAATCCTGAGAGGAGAGTGGAGAAGATGGAATTGTGGCATGATTGCAATCATCCCTGAAGGATGATTTCTTGATTCCTCACTTTCTGTCTTTGTCTCTGTCTCTGTCTCTCTCTCTCTCTCTCCAGTGAGTGCATGCACCCTATAGCAAAAAAATCTCTAAAAAAAAAAATGAATGTAGATTTAAAGTATTTAGATATACAGCTATATTGCAGGGGGCCAGCAGATGGTATAGTGGTTGGGGCTCTGAACTCCTACATGGTTGGACCAGTGGCTTGAGACTCAAGCCAGGCACACCTGTGTGCATGCCCCAAATCTCAAGAGAATGGAAGAGGAGGGATTGTAACTTGGCCATTCCCCTCTGGGAAAGAGGGTAACTTCTCACTTTCTGTCTCTCTCTGTGTCTCCAGCAAGTAAACATGCCTTATAGAAAAAATTTTTAGAACATTAAAAATAAATAAAATATACAGCAGAGTTCAAAAACTTAGCACCAAAAAGAAGTAAAGTATTTCATATAATTTAATATTGATGAAGTGATGAAATTGTAATATTTGGAGTCTATCTGTTAAAATATTCTAATATCAATTTTCTGTATTTTCTTTTCTTTTAAAATGGCCACCAAAATATGAAAATTGCATCTGATACTAGGTTATATTCCTATCAGCCCACACAGATTTACAGATTTAAAACTGATCCTGCTCCAAGACCTCTTCTCATTTCCTTTCATTTAATTCATTACAATATGATCACCACACAAAGTGAACAATATGGTTCAATCATCTGGAATTAGCACAATGTCATCACCACACAAAGTGAACAATATGGTTCAATAATCTTGAATTAGCATATTGTTTCATCGCCATGTTTAATTTTCATAGTTACTATGGAAGAATAATTAGACTCGTCATTTAAAAAAAGAACAATTTTTTAATTACATTGAGTGGGGTATTTTAAATACTTTCTCATAAGTATGTGTAGGGGTCAAATGCTCTAATTTTAATATGATACTTCTTTATAAAATAAACCAAGTCTAGCCTCATAGCCTAGTGGTTAAGGGAACTGGGTCCTACAATGGAAAATCAAAATTCAAGGCCTGGACCTGGTGACTTGAAAAGCAAATGGGGCAAGTGTGTATAAATGCCCAGAATCCCAACAGATAGGAGAAATGGAGAAAACAGGATTAAGGCATGGCTATGCCCAATGGGGGGGGGGTACTTTCTCCCCCCGTTTTTGTTTTTGTTTTTGTTTTTGTTTTTGTTTTCTCTCACTCTCTTTGGTGAGTGTTTGTGCCCTCTGGCAATTAAAAAATTCCAGAAACAGAGTCAGTCATCTGCTTCAACGATGAGATACGTAGCGCCACTATAAAGTGTGTAAATCCTGGCCAGGAAGCTCCTGAATGCAATGAGCTTTGACTATTGCTGTCTGTTCTCACACCTTCCTTCCGCTCGGGGTGTAAGAGACTAGGTAGGACGCCTCAACTGGAAAACCCCAACACTTGGATCAAACGCCACCAGACATTTAGGAATGTCGTCATATGTTACCAACATCAAATGATCTATCTGGAGATAGTTTTATGGCCCTTTCCAATCTGCTATTATACTCTGGTCTTCAGCCTTGTCTTCATTATAACATTAGTAACAAGTGAAATATAAGGGAAAACCACAATAATCTTTTATGAAACTTTCCCAGACCTCAAGCAAGAAAAATTGCTCTCTCATTCCTCTGTATCTCACAGATTCCTCTTACCAGCTTGGTTATCATGGCATCTTATGAGCCTATCCCATGTAAATTCTTTAAGGATAGAGAGATATCCTATTCCACCTATTTCATTCTCAGTACTTTTTATATTTCCTGTCACCTAATAAAAGCTTTCTTGATACTCATTTAAAAGAAAATAAAGGACAAAGGTATTTTTTTCTTCAGTAGAATTTTCATCTACAGAGCAAGACAGCATAAGTAATTATTTCTTCTTTCTCTGGAACTAAATTTTATGTCCTTTGAAATAATACCATTTTAAATATGTTTTTGAGATCAATAGGAAATATCTAAGGAGGATATTTTACATTTTGATGTAATGCAGAGACTGACCATTGCTGCTAAGTAACGTGTGCATCCTTTAGCTGGGCTGAGTTAATGGTACAAAGGCATCGCTAAGGGTCCCCGTCTTTAGAACATAAAGTAGGAAAGGGAAATGGACACATAGCAGATAGTGACAATGAAATGTCCTCAAACTTTTGATTGGTGTATTTGGAGCCTTGAGAAAATTCAATATGGGGTTGGGGGAAAATGTATGTGTCAGAGTAACGTGTGCATCCTTTAGCTGGGCTGAGTTAATGGTACAAAGGCATCGCTAAGGGTCCCCGTCTTTAGAACATAAAGTAGGAAAGGGAAATGGACACATAGCAGATAGTGACAATGAAATGTCCTCAAACTTTTGATTGGTGTATTTGGAGCCTTGAGAAAATTCAATATGGGGTTGGGGGAAAATGTATGTTTCAGATAAAAATCTGCAAAGGGCCCTGTCCATTTAAATTATATTTCTAAATCTTGCTCATCCCTTTAAAACTTCACATTTTTGTGTAAATATGAATCATCAGGGACCAGCAGGTGGCATAGCGGTTAAGGTGCTAGACTCCTACACAACCGATCATGATTGGAGTCCCAAACCAGGCGACTTGAAAGTCACACTGGCCCAAAGTCCTGAGGGGAGAATGGAGGAGAGGAAATTGCCATATGGTCATCCTCCCTGGAGGAGTGATTTCTCCCTCTCTCTCTCTGTTTCTCTGTCTCTGTCTCTTTCTCTCAAGTGATCGCATGTGCCTCATGGCAAAAATGTTTTAAAAAATTAAATCATGAAATTCCTCTTATTTTTCTCTCTCTCTATCTCTCTCTCTCTCTTTCTCTCTCTCTCTCTCTCTCCTCTCTCTCTCTCTTTAGAGAGAGAGAAGTTTTTGCTACAGGGTGTGTACACTCTCCAAAGAGACAAAGTAAGAAATCACTCCCCATGGGGGATAGTCATGCCTCAATCCCCTTTCCTCCATTCTCCTCACTCACACCCAGGCATGAGTTTCAAGCCGCAGGGTCCAGGATTCAAACCCCAGTCAATCATGTGGGAATCCAGCAGCATAACCATTATGCCATCTGCTGGTTCTCCATCCCTTCTTTGTTTATTTGCTTCATTTGCACTAGGGCACATAAGCTTACCAGAGCGAGGCAAGACAGAGAGAGAGAGGAAATGAGAAAGCAACTCTCTCCCTCCCCTGCCCCAGGAGAGGAGGAGGAATGACTTTGCCACAAGCCCTTCTCCTCCATTCTTCTCTTAGAATTTAGGGTACATGAACTCACAAACCCAGCATGTTTCTCAAGTCTCCAAGTCTGGGACTCAACCTGTGCATGTGGTCAGCCATACAGGATCCAGTTCTTAACCACCACACCACCAGCTGGTCTGTTCTTATCTCTTGGGCCAACAATTCACACAACCCCACTCCATCCTTCAAACCCCTCGCACACGAACCTAAACTAAAAATATCAGCATCTTATTTAATGCTTTATTACATTCCTCTTCATAAAAAGACAAGAATAGGGACCAGCAGTTAGCGTAATGGCTATGTTGCTAGACTCCCATGTAGTCAACTGAGGTTTGAGTCCCGGACCCAGTGGCTTAAACTCACGCTGGGTGCATGTGCGTGCATGCCCAAGATCCCGAGAGGAGAATGGAAGAGAAGGGATTGCAGCATGGCCATCCCCTCTGGGGGGTGATTTCTCACTTTCTGTCTCTCTGTCTCTGTCTGTCTGTCTGGCAAGCACACGTGCCCTATAGCAAAAACCTCTGGAAAAAAAAAAAAAAAGACAAGAATAGTTCACTGATTGAATGACTTCTCTTCCCTCCAAATTGCCCTGGAGTTTTTTAATATGATAAAACTATGCTTTGAGTGATTTTATAAAATTTATTGCTTAATACAGAAAATGCTACACATATATTTGGACTGAACATAAGCATCCTTTTTCTAAGTACCGGACACCTTGTGGAAGTTCCCCCTAAAGCCTAGAATCAATCACATGCCCCACCCTTACCACATCCTTGCTGCAGCCTCTGTGTGCGTGAGTGTGTTAATGACTCCTATCATGCACCTGTGTTATCATACCATGTGGTCACGTATACAGCTAGAAAAGCCACGTGACGACCTCTCTGAAAATCAGAAATTGGCATTTGTGGCCTCAGAGGAGTTTTGAATCTGCCGTGCCATGATTTACAGCCTGACTCCCAAACGTCCATCTACTACTTTTCTGTGTAAAAGTCACTGCTTTGGCTCAGATATATTGGCTGTGCTTCAGGACTAACACTGGCTTAAACCAAGTGCTGTATTTGTGGATGTCAGAGGAACGGTGCCCTCACCGAAGAGAAAGGGACAGCGAGGGAGACAGAATTCCTAATGGGTCAGGGTCACACTGTGGTCTTTTTTCTTCCATTTCTCTATCCTATCAGGATTTCGGCCCCTCATGGGCATGTGTCTAGCATGTTTTTCAAGCTGTGGGGACTAAATTTCCAATTGTGGTCAGCTATGTAAGCTCAGCGCTCTTAACCACTGAACCAGGTGCCAGATCTGAACCAAACACTTTTAGAAATGATCTCTGTTTCCTTGAACTAATTTACTTAGTATTACATATCATTTCATAATACTAAATAATTACTTGGCACTAAATTACATAATTACTTAATACTGTTAGTATATACTATATACTATAAATATATTATATACTATTAACTATACTATTTACTTAATACCAAATTGCATATAATTTTATAATACTAAGTAACTTACTTAGTATTACATGTAATTTTCAAATATACTAAAAATAATTCTAATTGTATTTCTCTTTAGGATGCTGCCTTATCAACCGAACTACCTGAAGTTCAAGAAGAGATTATAAATAAACACAACGAACTGAGGAAAGCAGTGTCTCCAAGCGCCAGTAACATGCTAAAGATGGTAAGGAGTAGTGGCATAAAGACGTTTGTTTTATTTAACTTTATGTAGATATATGTGTTAGAATTTTTTTTTTTCATTTATCCATGTAAACACCCTGGTGCATGAATTTTGTGTTGACTTCTCTCTCTGCAACAGTGATCAATGAATTCTGTAGCTTACGTAGCTCTTCTGGTGGGAAGTCACCCAGGCCTTCTCGGTTGTGCTAATTAGGTTAGAAGAGTAGAGATGCGTGGTGGGGCACTGGTGTTGACTGGAGCTGGAGGTTAGTGTAACACACCCCCGTGTTGTTTTGTGTGTTGGTCAGGACACTGCTCTTTCAAAATAGGTTTTGACACTTTGTAACCTGTAAGACCTCTGGATAGTCACAAACTGCCAATCGAAAAACAAAGGTAAAAAAGTAGCTGAGTTTTAAAAGCTTGCTCTGGTTGACTGATTAAGCAGTCATTTTCTGTTTACATAAGGTTTCCTCAAATATCATACTCCATGATTAAGTGTGCTCACTGTCACTTTAAATTCCAACTACACCCTATTTTTGTCTTTCTAAATATCAGATGTACTATTGGTATAATAATAGCATACCAAAAATAAGCTAAATAGTGCACTACACTAGCTGGATCCCTGCTTTCATGTGAGCAAAGGAAAGATGGAGACAACTCTAACGAGAGTCTATTTTTCTCTGTTGTCTAGACTGTTTGTAAATCTAGTGACCCAGGGTACAAGCATTACATCAAGGGAAGCTTTGCCTCAGATTGACTTGAGGTAGATAGGTCATCAGAATCTAGTACTCTTGTGCAATGCCCATTCTACCACTCCCTGGACCCCTGCAGCTTTTCCTAATTGTAGTAAAGCACAATTACAGTCATGCTACAATTCAGAGGGAAGGTCAGTACAGTCTATGAATGTTGTATATTAATGAGTGTTTACAGTCACCTCCTAAAACAAAAATATATACTGGAGTGGATAGTATTCCATTATGTAGCTTATCAATGTCGGTAAGTGCTTTTTAGATTGCCTAAAATTTTTCAAGATATTAAAAGATGTCTAAGGTTAAATTTGAAAAAAAAAACAAACAGAAATGTTGTATATCTTTTGAAGTGATAAAATTCATGTTGGACTTTTAAAGAAAATATGTTGTAATAATGCTGTTGTAAGTTATATTTAATATCTCTCTTTGCTTGTTTTCTATTTCCTCACATTTATTATGGTGAATGTTCAGAGCATTATAATTGCTTAGCCATTGAGTGATAATGTTTGTTAGTGGAAATCGGAAAAGTTATTCGTGAAATTCTACAGAATTCATTTTTCTATTTCCAATATTCACTGAAGTTAAATAAAAATTTTCAAGCCATTAAAAAAAGAAGAAGAAAACGGCTCGAGCCTGCTGTGGTCTGAGCAGACAGCTGGAGATTAATATCTCTTGATCACTTTATGACTTAGGAAGTACCACTTCTGTTTTGCTATTTCATTTGCCTTGTGTTATGGGCGGGGCAGTATTTAACACCCTTTTATAATGATTGACTTACTCTTCATGTTCATAGGTCTATTTATGTTAGAGAGGCAGAATTAAAACTAATTGTGGGGGGAACCAGCAGTTAGCGTAATGGCTATGTCGTTGGACTTCCACGTAGTTGACCGCGGTTTGTGTCCTGGACCCGGTGGCTTAGAACTCACGACGGGCATGTGTGTTTGCGTGCCCAAGATCCCGAGAGGAGAATGGAGGAGAAGGGGTTGTGGCATGACCATCCCCCCTGGAGGGTGATTTCTTGCTTTCTGTCTCTATGTCTCTCTCTGTGTCTGTCTGGCGAGTGCACGTGCCCTATAGGGAAAACCTCTCAAAAAAAAAAAAAAAAAAAACCTAATTGTGGGGGCCGGCCTCTGTCTTGGTGGTTAAGGCAGTGAGATCCCACATGGTGCAGTCTGCGTACTGGCCCAGTGGCTTGGAAGACAGGGCACATGGACACATGTGTCCATGCCCAGAGTCTTGCCAGTGGCTTGGAAGACAGGGCACATGGACACGCGTGTCCATTCCCAGAGTCTTTAATGAGTAAGAAACTCCTGGGAGAAGGGACTACTGTGTGACCATGCTCCATGAGGGATGATTTTTCTCTTTCTTTCTCTCTCTTTCTCACACATGGGCCCTCAACAAAATTTAGAAGAGGAAAAGAAACAATTTGGAGGGTCCTTAGGTTTTTCTACTCACTAGCCTCTAAGATCAAGAGGACCTTTTCCTTTTGGATCACTGCCATTCAGAATAAATATTGATCTACTTTCTGGGCCCAGTATCTCTCAAATGTAGTCAGTAAGAAAGAAAAGGGAACTGGAATAAAGTAAGCCAGCTCACTACTATTGGAAAATTTATCGTAATACCTCCACATGTTTTTTTAAAGATTGTTTGCCATAGGGAATGTGCACTTGCCAGAGAGAGACAGAGAGACATAGAGACAAGACAGGGAAAGTGAGAAATCATGTGCCCCATGGGGGATGGCCATACTGCAGTCCCTTCTGCTCCAGTCTCCTCTTGGAATTTTGGGCACAAACGCATATGCACCCAGCATGAGTTGCAATCCACAGGGTCCAGAACTCAAATGGTGGGGTAGGTCATGTGGGTTCCAGCACCTTAACCACCATGTCACCTGCTGGCCCTGTTTATCATTGTTTAGAGTCCAGCATTACTAAAAAATCTTTAGATGTCTCTACCCTGCTATCGAAAAGAATTAGACCATTAAATATCTTAGATATTTCAATTACTTAGGGTAGATCATTGTAGATCAAATAAAGCAGCACCAAAAATATGTATCTGTATGGTAATAACCAGAAGGAACCTATATAGAAGTTTTCTAATAATACGAATCAACCCATGAAAATGATTATAAAGCATATGCTCCTTGTGTTTGAGGCACTAAGGAGATATCTTTTATTGTTCTCTCCTTGCTTTAGCAATGGGATAGTTTCGCAGCCGCAAATGCTCAGAAGTGGGCAGACCAGTGTATCTTAAAACACAGTAAACCAGAGCAACGAAAAACAGGTATGTACATTAAGAAATATTTGTAAATAAATGTTTCTTATAATGTTGCACATTTCAGGTTAAAATATATCTGTATGTAGAGACGGTTCTGAGAAACACTACCTTGTGCTTATTGAGTGCTTTACATTTTACAAAAACTTTCACAAAGCATTACATCTATTCCTCTTGACCCACTCATGTGAAAAAGAGGTCATTGGATCATCTGCTTTCCTATTTAAAATATTAGAAAATGAACTATCTAGAGAAAAATAGCATAATTAGTGTGATATATAGAAAAGTAAAAATAGAATTTCTGACTTTTAATCTTGTAACATTTGCACAATATTGTACAGTCTATTTGTGTTTTGAAAACAATTCTTTCATAGTCTGCCTTATTTTGCTTAGTATTAAATCTTTTACATACATTAATTTTATATCTAATAACAGGGTCTTCTTGTTCCTTATGATTCATAGCCCAAAGTGTACATGTGCCTCAGTTTATAGAAGATTTAATGTTAAGTAAACTAGACTGCGGAAGACAACCACAGTATATCCCTGCTCAATATATACTGGAAGTCTGTACTCTATGGCGGAAATGGAAAGATCCAAAGATGTAGTAGTAGGAAAGACAAGAGTAGATACCAGAGACTGTATGGAAAGGGAGTGGATATTAGAGGGTACATGGGAGGGTCTCACAGAAAAAATACTTAATAGACATAAGAATGTGAAGTTCTCATTTAAAAAAAAATCTTTATTTTATTATATTTATTTTTTAAAGAATTGTTTATTTAATGTTATTTGTTATTATTATTACTTTTCAATTTGCTATAGGGCATGCATGCTCCCCAGAGAGAAAGAAAGTGAGAAAGCAAGCCTCCAGGTCCAGTATTTAAACCATGGTCACCTTAACCCCCACTCCACCTGCTGGCCACATATTTATTTATTTTTAATTTGACCAGAGAGGGACAGAGAGAGTGGGGGGAAAATGAGAAAGAAGCCACCAAATCCAATACTCGAGCCGCAGTCAGCCATATTGGAGTACAACACTTTCATCATCACTCCATCTGCTGGCCCCAAGTTCTCCTTGGAAATGGTGACTACAATAATATCCTTTATTTGATTGTCACATACTACATGCATACTTTAAAAAACCACATTGTATGCTATAGAGATGTACAACAATTTAAAGGTAAAAAAGAAATCAGAAAATGAAAAAGAATTCATTTTTATATTGCAAAATATGATGAATTTTATCAAATTGTTTCTGGATTTTACTAAAAAAATTAAATTAGAATTTACTTTTACTATTTTCTTTTTAATTTTTGATAATAGTTAAGTGAAATCTTTTGTATGTTTTGGGCAGTGCAAATGTATACTATCTAAGGGATTCTCAAAAAGTTCATAAAAAATGCACATTATGAAAAAACTATACATGATTTCAAAACATTTAAAGCCAAAATAAACTCAGTTTAATTTCATTTTTCCATAGACTTTTTGAACTCCTCATATATTATTAAAGAAATAATCAACAAGATATTATTTGATCAAGGAAATAAGCATAATGAGATAAAATATATAAGTGAACTATTAGATAAAATATTTAGTGAATTGTTGAAACTAACATTGAAAGTAACATAACTGGCCTGTTTTTAAGTTAGGATTGCCATTATTATTTGGATTTTTGATACTACAATTATTACAATAAAATTATGTGAAGGGGTGGCTATATTCACTAGAAAATTGAAAGAAATAATCCTAAAAATCCCAGTGTGCTGTTAAAAATCTTAGCTTCTTTCTTTCCCTTTTAAAGGAGTTATGCAAAAGAAGTTTATACTCTCTTTAAACACCATTTAGCCTTAAATTTGAAGCTAATCAAATATAAATATTAATTACAAGACTTGGAAAAAATTGAGCTGTTTCTCAGCTACAAATACTTTTTTCCTCCTTTGAAGAAGAATCTGGCCTGTGATACTCTGATTTGCTAAGGAGAGACCCATACATTTTTAAAACACTGCACCTTTTGGTATCATTTGCTTCATGTTTGGGGCTCTTAAAGACTGTCTATAAGACTTTTATCAAAGTTCATACAAAATGATAACCCTAAACATATATCCAGAAACTTATATATATTTTCTGGGGGACCAGCAGTTGGCATAGTGGCTATGTTGCTGGACTCCCATGTAGCCCACCACGGTTCGACTCCAAGACCCAGATTAAACTCACGCAGGGTGCGTGTGCATGTGTGCCAAAAATCCCGAGAGGAGAATGGAGGAGAGAGAATTGCGGCGTGGCCATCCCCCCTGGGGGGTGATTTCTCGCTTTCTGTCTCTCTGTCTCTCTGTCTTTCTGGTGAGTGCGTGTGCCCTATAGTAAAAACGTCAACAACAACAACAAAAATTTCTGATGAGTATTGGCTGGAGCAGAAGAGAAATGACAAGAATTAGACTGCCTTTAGCAGCCGATAGCACGAAGCTGACAACATGTGCAGCACACACATGTGAGGAATGTAACATGTAAATGAATGAGTTTGCAGAAAGCACATGTTAAAGAGGACTTCTCCATCTACACAGTGTCGCATGTTGAGATGATTTGGTCCCATCAGACTTCTATTCAGCTTCTAATTGTTAAGGGTGTGAGGCATCCTCCTCATGTATTAGTCAGCAGTTAGTAACTATTGGCACTATATTTGGTGAGCAAGGACTGTGTGTGTGTGTGTGTGTGTGTGTGTACAGGCACATGCACATGTATTTTGCCATTGCATGCTTTATCGCTTTCCTTATAAATGGTGTGTTCTTTCTTAGACGTGAAATGTGGTGAGAATCTCTTTCTGTCAAGTCACCCTGTTTCATGGTCACACGCAATCGATAGCTGGTATAAAGAGAGCCAAAACTTTGAATATAATTCAGGGCCAAAGACACCCAAGGCAGTGGTTGGACATTATACTCAGGTAAGAAAAAGAAATGGGAAAAAAAATGCTGTGGGTATCGTAAAAGGAAAGCTTGTCCACATTACAACTGATTCCAAACTTAAATTAGAAGAAAGAGCTAATGTGAACTACTGTGAATAGAGAATGGCTTTGACATTTGGTGGGCATTTAAACTATGAGCTCTCATTTTTGATAGCCCATAGGTTCTTGGTAGGGAAACATACTGTGTGTGTGTGTGTGTGTGTGTGTGTGTGTTTCCTTTTTCTTTTTAAGAGGTTTTTTGCTATAGGGCACGTGTGCTCTCCAGAAAGAGAGACAGAGAGACAGAAAGCAAAAAATCACCTCCCCACAGGGGAGATGGCCATACTGCAATCCCTTCTCCTCCATTCTTCTCTTGAATCTTGGGCATGCACGCACACGTGCCCGGCGTGAGTTTAAGCCACTGGATCTAGGACTCAAACCGTGGCCAACTACGTGGGAATCCAGCTACATAGCCATTACGCTAACTGCTGGTCCCCATACTGTGTATTTTTCTAACAATATATAAAGAGATTTCAGAAAGCTTGTGGATAAAATGAAACTAAAGTTTCTCTTGGTGCAAAACAATTTGGAAACTCATGCATAGTTTTTTTTAGAATAATTTTTCATTTTTCTCTCGAAAACTCTTCTAAATGAATAAAGCAGTGAATGTACATGGAAATATATTTTTCAAGCTTATTTTAGTTTGATACAATAATTTAACTAAATATATTCATAAGGCATATGGAAACAAAGTACATCAGTAATCTTTTCAATTGTGTATGTTTCCTAATGATTGTTTTTGATATTTCTTTATCCTCTAACCTGCTCCCATATCTGCACTTATATGGGTATGTAGGTTGTTTGGAGCACTTCTTTCAAGGTTGGATGTGCTTGTGCCTATTGTCCTAATGAAAAGCTACGATTCTTCTACGTTTGCCAGTATTGTCCTGCGTAAGTATACACTTTAGACTTTACGATCATAATTCCTACTACAATGTAATATTTTTTAATGATTACATAATAAGACACAGGCTAAAAGCATATTTCAGAAGAGAAGAGAGAAATCTTTAGAAAGATTTTCTAAAGTCAAAACACATTCAACTAACTTCTCAGAAAGACAGTTTTACAGTTTTACAGTTCCAAGTAAAACTGCTCTGAAACTCACTTTCCCCGTGCTGAAATGATTTCTCTGTGCTCTCAGTTGCCTTCCTATAGATTCAGGGCTACGCTATGAGTGCAGAGAAGGTATGGTTCTCTAAATTTGTACCATCGGTTCTTGGTGAGTTCACACTAAAAAGAAAGCTTGTCAGGCCATGGATGAAGGTGAGGGAGCAAATGGAAAATGACGTATTTTAGTGATTCCAGGTCTTTCTGCTCAAATGTACCTACTCCTGCTTAACTAAAATTGCCACACTATAACCATTAATTAATGATAAAAATCTTCAGCTTCAAAAGCTTTTCAAGAGATCCTTGATATATTTCAAATATGCAGAAAAGATGACATCTTAAGTCATTACTTCTCATACTTCACCATCAAAAATCTCTAAAGTAATCATCCATTAGAATCCTAATTTATTTCGGGACCAGATAGTGTAATGGTTACATTGCTGGAGTCTAACATGGTCGACCACAGTTCAAGCCCCAGACCTGGTGGCTTGGGACTCATGCAGGACACATGTACATGCATGCCCAGGATTCCAAGAGGAGAATGGAGAAGAGGGATTGCAGGATGATCTCTCACCCTTGTCTCTCTTTCTTTCTCTCTCTGGAAAGTGCACACCCTATAGCTAAAATCTCTCTCTCTAAAAAAAAAAAAAAAATCCCAATTTGTTTCAAACAATATGATTGAGCTATAGCTATATTGAAGATATATTTACAGTAAGTTTGTTGGTTTTAATTTCTTTTCTTTCTGTTTTTGTCACAGGATATGTGCATTTCAGAGAGAGAGAGAGAGATCACTCCTGCACCATGGGAAATGATCATGCTGCAATCCCGTCTCCTCCATCTCTCCCTCCTGTAGAGATTCTGAGCATGCATACACACACACACACACACACACACACACACACACACACACAAAACCATTGGGTCCAGGATTCAGACCAAGCAGTTTACCATGTGGGATCTAGTTACTAAACCTCCATACTCTGGCTGCCTGATTTCTTCTAAATATTTAAAATTATTCAGCACTGAAGGGAGGGATTCCTCCCAAACCAAGCTTTCTATACAATTATTTTGAAGCTCTAGACAACCTTGGTGATGTAGTGTTCCAGTTTAAGAATGACCTTGGGGCCAACCCTGTAGCCTGGTGGTTAAAGGAGCTAAACTCCACATGGCTGACCAAGTCCTGTCAGGCTAGCTCTGCAGGCTTGAAAAACATGCCAGACATGTGTGCATGCATGCCTAAATCCCTACAAGGCGAAGAGATTGGAAGACAAGGAATTGCAATGTGACCACACTCGATAGCGGGATGCTTTCTCCCTCTCTTCCTCTGTCTCTCTCTTTCTGGTTCTCTCTGGGGAGCCTATGACCACTAAAGCCATTTTCAGCAAGGACTTATTGGTGTTTAGTAGAGAGAATTGAAAGGTCTTTGGAGAATGTATTCAAATTCCTAGTCATGAGAGGAGGGCATCTGGGACCTGAAGTCTGAAGTCAGAGTAGGAGTGAAAACAAAGAAAGCTAGAGAGAGGGAACTTCTACGGTACTTTTCTATCCGTTTTGCTGCTTTTTAAACTGCTCACATGCATAAAGTCATATTCTAAGTGGGAAGACCACGGTTCAACAACATTGTCTTGGAGCTTGCCTCACTTGGTGCAATTGAGACTCACTCCCTTGTGTTTTCAAATGATAATGACTAACAGGATGATAAATTGTTAGTGAGGTACAGGTTAGTCACTGTAAGACCTATGTGCCCTGAAGATTAGTGTTAATGAAACTTTTTATTTTAACTAACATTTTTAGTAAACCTAAAGCCCTCATACACACACGCACACACACACACACCATCTCCAGACATTCCCAAGCCTTCCTGAACACAACCCCTTTCAAAACTACACCAAGGTCAAACATTACACTGAAGCTTTACTTGCTGTAATTCATATTATTGTGTCTGTTCACTTTTGAATGGTAAATATCATTTTCCATAGTGTAATTTTTTGTCCCCCAAGATCATCTTCTTTCTCTCTAAGAGATGTTTTATTCTAGCCAGCACCTTGGGTGCAATGCCTTGGCCATTTGACCAAGTCTACTAGTGGATATAGTGTGTTGCCATTTTGAAATATGCTCTGCAAATGTTATCAAATTTTACTTGTTCAGATTCTGAGATTGGGATCGTTGAAGTGAGTGAATGTGTGAATTATTATCTTATTTACTTTGTTACCTGAATACACTTTGGGAATGTTAGTTTTTCAGTTATTTGACATAACTTAAAACATTTAATATATATCTAGGCCTATGTGGTGACTGATGTATGGAGCATGTACTAAACAGAAAAATAAAAATATTTTACTTTGTATGTCAAATTTCAGTGGCAATTTAGTGACTAAGATGAAGACCCCTTACAAGCAAGGAGAACCTTGTGACAGTTGTCCTGACCACTGTGACGATGGACTATGCAGTAAGTTTGAAATGTCTAATAAGTGACTTGACATTTCTTTTTATGAATTAGCACACATTCTCATATAACCAACTTAAGCAGTGCCTTAATATAAAAGGCCAAAAACTATATTTAAGAATGTTTTTAAAAGTTCATTTATTTCTTTTTTCATGAGGAAAAGACACAGAGACAGAGAAGCAGGTACCCACAACAGGGTCTTCAGGCCACAGCCCATCCTAGTCCCAGATTGTGGCACACATGTGCCTGGCATGTTCAGGGAGGTCTCCAGCCATGAACTGGGAACCTCCCCATGTGACTCAGTCTCACAGTGTTGTATTACTACATGGCTGTCTGGACCCTAACACATTGTTTTTAAGTAAAAATTATATATTCTTTAATGTCTATGTAGGCTTTGTAAAAAAAAAAAAGCGTATTATCCTATGTAAGCTAAAGTAATACTTACCATCAATTATATGTGACTATGTTGAGTCCATTACATATTGTTGTATTTGAAAATGTTTCTTTGGAAATAATTCACAGTAATGAAAGAGAACTTTTTTTTCACCAATGTTAATGCTATTATGCTAAAGATGACATGATGTTTTTAAAAAAGAAAGCAAATACAGAAATCTAAGGGTGTGAGATGATAGAATATAACTCAGTACAGATAAGTGCACCAAATACCATAATTCCTCATATCCTACTGAATTTCTATGACTGACTTCCTCATGCTCTTCACAGTTAGAATCATCAAACTTAATAACTTGTGTTTCTGTTTGCTAGTTACTTTTATGTATAGTTTAAGAAGTCAAAATCAAATCTGTATGTGTTATCTCATAGAAGCTGGAAAACTATATTAGCAAAGAAAAGGAGTAACATAAATAGCATATGATATATCATTTCCAATGTTGTTACAAATAGAAATATGAAGAGCTGGTATTTTGTAATTGAGACATATTATAAAATTATTATGGACAGGGACCAGCAGTTAACATAGTGGCTATGTTGCTGGACTCCCATGTGGTTGACTGCAGTTCAAGTCCCGGACCCAGTGGCTTAAACCCATGCCGGGTGCATGTGTGTGTGTTTGTGCCCAAAATCCCTAGGGGAGAGTGGATGAGAAGGGATCGGGGCATGGCCATCCCCCCCGGGGGGTGATTTCTCACTTTCTGTCTCTCTGCCTTTCTGGAGAGCGCACACACCGTATAGCAAAAACCTCTAAAAAAAGTATTATGGACAATATAGTTGACTCATTCACTGAGATTCTTACCTTTCAATACATTTATCTGACTGAATTGTATAGCTACAAGGTAGTCAAGTCATAATATATTTTTCTATGTTTTTCTATGCAAAAATCATGATTTTTCAGATGACCCAATGTAACTCACAATATTGATTATATCAAAGCTGAAACTCAACTAATGGCCAAATATTTACAGAATACTAATTTTGCTAAGGAGCTTTGAACTTATTATCTGTAATGAGCAGCCAATTGAAAGATTTTTATTTCTTCTATTTTTACTTTTTGGAAAGCTTATTTATTTCCTTCATGTGTTGTACATGAGAGAGAGAGATAGACAGACATTCTCAAAACAGTCTCATGCGATGATCTTCCCTGTTCTACAGTTAGCCAGGATAATGTAATGGGTGCTCCCATGAACTTACCTGCCAGTGTTCTGACAGCCATGCGGACACAAACCTAGGGCCTTCCCAAAGGCTCCAGCGTCATGCAGCAGTGCCTTTACTGCCTGTGCCACTTCAGCTGGGCCTAACTGAAAAACATTAAACAGAAAAGTGACAAGATCAAAATTGTCATTTATAAAGAGCTCTTATCAGTAGAATATGAAAAAACAATTGGATGAAAGCTAGCTAAGAAACTTGTTAAACTTGTTTTGGGCCTCAAAAACCAATTTATTTCAATAGGGCAAGATGAATGAAAAGAAATAGGTATGAGAGATAAGATGAAAGTAAAATAAATAGTTTCTGTTTATTTGTGCATGTTGAGTGCTAATAAAAAAGTGGGGAGAATTACGTTCCTGTTGATTCCTAGTTCCAGTTTGAAATATTTATGAGTTGGGAACCAGCAGTTAGCATAATGGCTATGTCGCTGGACTCCCACGTAGTCGACCGCGGTTCGCATCCCGGACCCGATGGCTTAAAACTCACACAGGGCGCGTGTGCGTGTGTGCCAAAGATCCTGAGAGGAGAATGGAGGAGAAGGGATTGCGGTGTGACCATCCTCCCTGGGGGGTGATTTCTCGCTTTCTGTCTCTATGTCTCTCTCTCTCTCTGTCTGGCGAGCACACATGCCCTATAGCGAAAAACTTCTCCCAAAAAAATATATATTTATGAGTTGGGAGTGCCATTTCTCTGAGACTGGATGAATTGAATGGAGGGTTGTGAGTGGATATGAAATAAAGGGCAAGCTTATAAGTAGGATGATGAATTTAGTTTGAGATCTGTTGAGTTTGCAGTCACTAAGAGACATCCAAGTAGAAATGTCCAATAATCTGGGATCAGCACATGGTGTAATGGTTACATCTCTGGACTCCCACATAGCCTACCACTGTTCAAGTCCCAGACCAAACAGCTTACAATTCACACTGAGCATTTGTGTGTGCATGCCCAAAATCCCAAGAGGAGAATGTAAGAGAGGGGATTGAGCATGGCCATTCCCCTGGGGGAGAATTTCTTGTTTTCTGTCCTTCTGTCTCTCCAGTGAGTGCACGTGCCCTATAGTAAAAATCTCTCTTTCTAAAAAAAGTAAATGTCTAATAATCCTAGAGACATTCCCTCCATATTTCACTTTTTGCACTTCCATGTTGTCATAATGATTGCTTATCCTTCAGAGAGAGGCAGATGCTATTAGAGTCCATGGCAATCATGTCCAATATAACTTTCTGGAGTGATGAAGAGGTTCAATTTTTCACTGTCCTATAAAGAAATCCTTAGACACATTTGCTGTTGAGTATTTGGAATGTACATTTAGAATGTATTGCTGAAGACCTGAAATTTTATTTAATTTTTATTAATTAAAGTTTAAATTTAAACAACCACATGACTAGTGGCTACCATGTTGGATAGTGCAGTTACAGAGAGACTCTTTTAAACTCACTTCACTTTGTTTTCAAGTGAGGATAGTATGTCAATTGTCTTAGAAAGAGGTTTAAAGTTCAAATTTAAAAGGTGAAAGATTGATCAGTGAATTTAACCAAGGGACCTGATTTGTCCCTCGAGATATGAAATGATCATCACAGTGTAATGATGTCAACTTGTTTGCTCAATTTCCTACCCCTCCTCCCATTCACATTGAATTTGCTCTTTCTGTTGCTGCCATTCAGGAAAGTTATTATGAAGTGACTAATTTCTTTGTTTTTATTCCAGCCAATGCTTGTGAGTATGAAGACAATCTTAGTAACTGTGAACAGTTGAAGAACATGGTAGGCTGTAGCCATTCCTTAACCAAAACCAAATGCAAAGCTTCCTGCAACTGTATTAACAAAATTTATTGAATGCCCAAAACATGTAAAGGAGAGCTGTATGGTGAAGAAGCACATCATCGACTTAGATTCAACATTCTATTAGTAGAGACATTATCTTAGCTAAAATTTCATTTTTAAACAGTAATAAATCTGTTTTCTTCTGGATATCCTTTTTATTGTACAGAAATTTTATTCATGTAAGGATTAAAAAGTAAAATAGTCTATGAAAAAACTTTAGAGTTGGGTATATAACTTTCGTGATTTAAATTTAATGAATTAAATTAAATTGAGGATTCTCAAGTCACAAACACCCTGAGTTGAAAATGAGAATCATGTTTCTAGAACGAAAAGTACAAAAAGAATAGAATGTAGTACCATCTTCCCATGAATCTCTGGTTACTGCTATCTATTCTAGCGCCACAATACACCTAAACATCTCAAAAGAAGTGTTTTAAGTGTTCACATATGCTGGCTTTAATTCCCCCTCTCCCATTTACCTTTCCATCCTCTCATCTGGCTCTCATTCTTACAATTAAGTTGAAACCGTTCTTCCTAAATTAACTCTGGCTTGTCATTTTGTCAAAATCAATTAAAATGTTTGATTATTGATCTGCATAATTTTTACAGTAAAATTGACTACATGTTTCTTTTTAAACCTCTTCTCTCTTAGACAAATCTTGCTTTAAAAAGAATTCAAGGGGCCAGCAGGCATAGTAGTTAAGGTGCTGGATCCCACATAGCTAACTCCTTGATTTGAGTTCTGAACTCAACATCCTGGAAAACACAACAGGTATGTGTTTTTCCCTAAAATCCCAAGAGGAGAATGAAAGAGAAGGGATTTCATCATAGCCATCTCTCCTAGGGGATCATTTCTCACTTTCTCTTCCTCTCTGTCACTCTCCCGTGAGCACAAGTACCCTATAGCAAAATAATAATAATAATAATAAAATCAAAATAATAATGCAAAATAATATGTACAAATACTATCTCCTCAACATGGTAGAACTCAGTCCTTTTGATTTTGAGTCTACAGTGAATTTAGTGACTCAATTCTAAAGGCTAGAGTACAAAAAGGGGAAAGAAAAGTAAATTTATGGTGAAAAAAACTAGTAAATGGCCTTTTAACCAGCTGATCAACATCTAAATCACCAGTGGTAAGGCATGTGAATAAATGTACTTCTACCTCTGGGTGTTCTTTATAAAAACTGATTAACCCCATTCTAAGAATGAGGTAAAACATCAGATAAACAAAAACTAAGGGATATTGTACAAAATACTCCTGAGCTACTTAAGGTACTTCTTTAAACTATAAAAATCATGAAAAAGAAGGAAATTTTAAGAAATAGTAACCAATCACGGGAGTCTAGGGAGTATAAGAACTAAATGTAATATGGTATCTTGAATCAGACCATGAAACAGAAAAAGACTATTAATGAAATAATTGGTCAAACCTAAATATACTATGGAGCGTTTTAAATAGCAACATTGATTTTAGTCTTGACAAATGTGCCAGGATAATGTAAGAAGATCATAATATCAGAAAACTGAAACCGAATGAGAATATATGGGGATTCCCTATACTATTGAAACAAATTTTCTGTTAATCTAAAAATAATTCAAAATTAAAAATGCATTTTTACAAAAATAAAAAGAGATTTTTTGTTTGTTTCTTTTTTGGCTCCATGAATCTTTATACTTTTTCTTTGGATTATTTGCCTATTCTTTTTTTGGTCTTTTCTCTCAACCTACAACTCCTATAATCTATTGCTAAATGTTTGTTTTTATAATATTAATAGACCTTTCAGCTAATACCAATGACTGAATTGTTAAATCAGACACACACCCTTACCCAGTGTCACACATAACTAATAATTTGTAATGAGGTAAGGAAAATTAGGGTGGTACTGGGCCATCAATGCACCTCCTAGACTCTGATTTTGTAGCACCTCTTAATCACAGAAGCAATTGTCTTCCTAATTAGTTTCCATGCAAAACCTTACTACTGACATTCTCAAGTACTGCGATCATAATCATACCTTGTAAACGGATCTACAAGAAGCCAACTGGTCTTTTTTATACTTTCCTCTCCAGTTTAATTTCATTGTACTCTTCTATCACTTCCTATGCTAGTTATGATGAACCAATTCTCTTGAGCTCTTCTTTCTTACCTCAGGGCATTTGTGTGTTCTATTGGTTCTGTTTGGAAAAGTCATCCTTTTTATTATTCGTTGGGTTGCTATTCACATTGTCATTTCATCTAAGAAATTCATCTGAATAAATAATCTAAAGATTCTCCCCTAATTCTCTCCCCTAGTTCTTCGTGTTTTCTTTCATAGTAATAATCTCATGTATGATCATTCATACCTGCTTTCCACAAATATTTATTGACGGCAATAATGTTTCAGATACCTAATTAGGTATTTTGAAATAGACCAATGAACAGGAGAGAGCAGGTGCTGAACTACGTGGGGTTCACACTCTAATAGGAGAGGGAGAAAGAACACTGTTGTGTAAGTGAATATTTAATATGATGTCGGAGAGTGATAAACTCTATTAACTTAAAGTGAGCAAGAGGGTAGGAAATAAGAGGGTTAGGCTGGGAGAGATAGATGTTAATTTACATAGCATTGTCAGGTAAATCCTCTTTAAGGTGTGACATTGGATCAGGAACAACATGGAAGTGAGAGGATAACCAATGGTGTGATTTAATGAAGAAGAGTTTCAGTGGAAAAGAATAGCGAGTACAAAATTACAGAAGTAAAAACAAACAGTATATTTGAGGAAAAGCAAGACACCCAGAATAGCTAAAGCAGTGAGCAAGGCAAATAAATTTTAAAACAGAGTGGAGAGAGACAGTCAGGAACCTGGTTACATGGTGTCCTGGAGATAAGGTAAATAATTGGGATTTTATTATAATTAAGGTAGTGAGGTAAAAGTTAGTTGAGAAAGGCACCAGGAGAGCATGACAGAAAGATGACAAGAATGTCATGCAAACCCAGTCCAGCTACTTTTAGTTTCTTTGAAAATCTGGTTTCTTTCTCCTTATGACCTGTCCCTGTGAGTGGACTCCAGATGGAACCAGTAACCATAACCTCCTCACAGGTCATACATATGAACAATTAAAAATAGGGACATAGAGCCAGACAACTCCTAACTTTGAAATCTAAAGTTCCTGGGCCCAATAAAAACTATGAGATAAGCCAACAGACCCAAAATACACTGAAAATGCTATAAAAAAAATAGCTGGTGGCAAAGGGCCACAATTAGACTCTAAGGACACCCATATCATGAGCCTAAACAATATAAAAATTCTTATGATCATTAACCTCTACTTCTTGTTAAAAGCCTAATAAAAACCCTTGTGAGGGAGGAGAGAGGAACCCTAAAAATATATTAGGTCACTGGGAAAGTCATGACATATTTTTCTGTTTTTCTATGCAAAAATGCATCATGACTTTCTTGATGGCCCAATAGTTAGGGTATAGGCCTAAAATGGAATCACAAAAATGGCTGTTTTAAGATGGAGTCACAATAGCTCGGCAACAGCACAAGAAACAGCTTACACCAGTGACTTAATGATTAACCTAAAGCAAACACTTTTCTCCTGGTCCTACCACACTGCAGGAAAAAGGTCATTTTTTTTACAACCTAAAGCTTTTAGACAAATAGACTCTCCTGTCCTTCATACCCACTCCAAAATTAGGAGATGAATGACTGAATCCATCTAACATATGACCCCACCATGGGGGGAACACATGCATAAGCCCCTCTGAGAAGAAGCCCAGACAAAGCCCTTCCCAAACAAGATGAAAATCTTTCATCTTAGTTCCTCTTCAGCAGTCCATTGTCTGGGACCCCTTGCTGTCTGCCTGAGACAATACTCTGGGTCATTTCTCACATTAAGCAAGGGCAATTTTACAAGTGTTCTATGGGGAAAATATTAGCCATCCACCTTGATTTGGGTTCATCTGCCAGTCTTGATTTGGGTTCATCTGACATCTTTTTGTTTCCCAATCCTTGTTTTTTTCTGGAGGATTTTTGCCATAGGGCGCTTACGCTCGACAGAAAGATAGAGAGAGATGAAGAGACAGAAAGCGAGAAATCACCCCCTAGGGGGGATGGCCATGACGCAATCTTCTCCTCCATTCTCCTCTTGGGATCTTGGGCACATACACACACATGGCCGGGGTGAGTTTAAGCCACCGGTTTGAGGATTCAAACTGTGGTCGGCTACATGGGAATTCAGCTACATAGCCATTACACTAACTGCTGGTCCTTTGTTTCCCAATCTTAAAAAAAATTCTTAAAAGGGAGCCAGCAGATGGTGTGGTGGTTAAGATGTTGGACTCCCACATGGTCAACTGCGGTTTGAGTTCCATACCTGACAGATTAAAAAGCATTTGATAAGATACAACATCCCTTTATGATCAAGACTCTCAGCAATATCGGCATAGAAGGGTCATTTCTCAAAATAATAAAAGCTATCTATGAAAAACCCATAGCAAACATCATCCTGAATAGAGAAAAGCTGAAAGTTTTTCCACTAAAAACTGGTACAAGACAAGGATGCCCACTATCTCCACTTCTTTTCAATATACTACTGGAAATCCTCTCCAACACAATGAGAAAAGAGAATAAAATAAAAGCCATTCGAATAGGAAAAGAAGAGGTGATTGTATACGTAGAAGACCCAGTGGTATCCATGAAAAAATTCCTGTAAGTAATACGTGAATACAGTAGAGTTGCAGAATACAAAACCAACGTACAGAATTCTATAGTATTTCTATATATAAAAATCAGGCAGACTGAAATAGAACTGAAAAAAGTAATTCCATTTATGATAGCCACAAAAAGTATAAGATACCTAGGAATAAATCTAACCAAAGAAGTTAAAGACCCCCACAAGGAAAACTATGAGAAGCTAAAAAAAGAAATTGAAAATGACACAAAAAAGTGGAAGGACATCCCATGTTTCTGGATTGGAAGAACTGATATAATCAAAACGGCAATTCTACCCAAATTAATCTACGTATTTAATGCAATCCTATCATAGCATGACACTTGTGTAGGGTCTGGGGAAGGGAAGAGAAACATGGCGGAAACTTGTCTGCCACCTTCTGCATCTGGCACGGCCACCAACAGACTCTTCGCCTTCTGGCACAGTCGCCACCAGTTGAGCAGAAACACCATCTCCTATTGGCGAGGACAAAATGCCATAATGCTATGGCAACTGCTCATTGGACAAGTGCCCCCATAAGAAGATGAGCAGTAATCCTTTGGGTGTGACTCCTTCCCCCCGCGCCCCTCCTCCACCTCTGTTCAGACCCCAGGACCTCACCCGAGAGCTTTTCGCAGAATAAATTTTATTGGCTTTGCTAAATCCCAAGCCTGACTCTGGTTTTTCCGTCTTTGCCGCCTCTGACACTGCCGCCCATCATAAGTCTGACCTAACAACTTGGATGTTAGATGTGGAAATTATAAGCTTGGTTGTTATCTGGGTTAATCTATCCCACTAAAGTATATGATATAATTTGACACTCTACAGTAAAGCTGAAGTAGACCAGGGACTCCCTAAGAAGGGTGGGTCCTCAGTTTCCCTTTCTGTTGAAGAAAAAATAAAAATTCTCCAAACTGAAGGGACTAGCAGATGGTGTAATAGTTATGCCAGTGGACTCCCATGTAGTTGACTGCGGTTTGAATCCCAGTCCCGGTGGTTTAAAACTCACACCAGGTGTGTGTGCCTGTGTGCCCCAAATCCCAAGAGAATAGAGGAGAAGGGATTGTAGTGTGGCCATCCCCTAAGATGTTATTTCTCACTTTCTCTCTGTGTCTCTCCATCAAGTGCACATGTCCTATAGCAAAATGTTCTCAAAAAATTAAAAAATTCCAAACTGAAAATTAATAAGAGCTAAACTAAAAAGTAAAACGTCTTTTCTAAAGGGCTTGGACCAACTTGAGGTCATTCATTTATACAGTAATGGTCCAAAATATGGGGTAAGACTTCAGAATTTGGTTATGGCAATGAAGCAACATTGGCCACGAATGAGAGCCACAAGACTTAAAAATCTCACTTCCAGAGGAAAATAAGGTTTTAACTTCAGAGCTTAAGAAGCTTTGTAGGATGCAAACTGCTGGCTGTGAACACAAAGACCTCAGGAACAAAGACTCCAGAAACCTGAGCAGAAATGTGATTATCTGAGGCCTTGCCAGTCAAGAATGTCCATGAAATAACCATACCCTCTTGAACCAGTCATTGAACTGAACACATACCTCGGCCCCCTGCCCCTAATTTTGACCTTAAGGATGCATGTGGGGTATCGGCAGGTGGTGTGGTGGTGAAGGTCCTGGACTCCCACATGGCTGACTCTTGTTTCATTCCAGAACCTGGCATGAGAAACATCTCAGGGAAACCAAATCTTTTCAGCATGAGCTGCCCACTCTCCTTAATTTGTGCTTTGCAATAAAGCTGTACTTTCTTTCATCACACCAACACAGGGGGAGTGGCTTAATCATATGATAGCAGGTAGCTAGTAATGAGTGGGAGGCCCAAAGAAAATAGCAGAAGGACCCATGCCACACCAATCACAACTTCTCAGGAGTTACAACCAGACCCTCCGTGAAAATGCCTTCTTCTTACCCAGGTCCTAGTGCTGGGAAGGCAAGGCAAATCCCATTTTTTTCTTCTGTGGTACTTGAGGAAGATACATAGGGATCATTGTAAATGTCCCTCTTATCATCCCTCATAAATACAAAAAGACCCAACCAGACATTTTGATCAACATCCTGATTCCCATTGGGGCAATAAACTAATTGGGCAGTTTATTCTAATAAGGATGCTCCTGTCATCATGGCTCACACTGGGCATGCCCAGTTAGGTATCAAATTCCTCAAATTCTTCACCTGTGAGAGAGCTTCTCAAGTGCAAGCACACAGGAAAAAGTCTCAGAATTCAAACAGACAGCATGACAGACCTCCCATTGTTAAATATTCATTATCAGCTCTAGTAATAAAAATATCACCTAAACCAGTTCCAAAAGCAGTTGCTACCTAGTGCCCACCCAAAAGTCTTCTAGGTGTACTTCTTTTCTAAAATCTGCCTTTTCTATTAAATTCTCTTTCCTACCTACTTTTATTGTGGTTGGTGCTTTACTTTGCTCCTAGGGACAGGTCTCTAATTTTAGTGATCTGGACCCAAAGGACCAAGGATTTTACACAATGCAGTTCAGCACTCTCCCATCCTATGTCAATCAGACCCAACACTCATGCTGGTTCCAATCCTTTGCTCAAGAAGAATTAGTGGTGTGGACACAGATTGGAAAAATAAAGTGGAGTTTATTTGGGAAGGAGAATAAGCTTCTAATACAATGGGCAGGGGTCTGAATGGGCTGCCAAAGAGGAGCTGGAGGCAAGAGGGTTTCATCCAGTAGTCCAAGAAGTTAATTGGCTTTTTGATAAGGAAGTGGATAGTCACATGGTAGTCTGAGTGAATACTACTCTATTTTTTGTGAAGTCAGCAGACCATAGCATTCTGTACTTCTTGTCAGAATATAATTACTAAATAAAGCTGCTGCTCTTAGCTTTGGTTGCTTTGAGTCTTAATGCAGCCAGCTTTCGAATGTGAAAACTTAGTTGCTGTGACTCCGCATTGAGTCTTCACCCTGTCTGTGTGCTCAATATCTCCTGTTGAGAGTAAAGAACCATAAATTCTGTAGAGACATGTAAAATGAGTGTATATTGTACATTAATCTGACCCATAGAGGAAAAACACAGAGACTTCATTAAAAAGAAAAACCCAGTGACTTCCTTTTGGGTCCTTATCCTATCTATCTGTAAGTGGGGTCTAACTCCCATCTCCACGTCATGTGTCTATAGTTTAGTTTGTAGTGCTTGGATGAATTAACTTGCTTTGAATTTGGTAGAAAAGTGAAAATGAGGTAGGAGACAGAAACCCTAAAAATATAGTTAGGATATAGGCCCAAAATGGAATTACAAAAATGGCTAAGTTTTAAGATGGGACTTAGTGACTTGGCTGCTTATTCAGAGAAATGGCTTGCAACAGTGGCTCCATGATTAACCCAGGCAGTATAACTGAAAACAAAGGTTTTTCTCCAGGCCCTACCACATTCCATGAAGAAGATAAAACAATGGCTTTTTATGGCCCAAAGTTTTTAGACAAAGTATCTCCTGATCTTCTACCTACTCCAAAATAAAGAGAAATAACCAGACCCATCTAGCATGTGACCCCTCCACCAAGATGAAGGGAAAGCAACCATGAATAAACAAGCCCAAACAAAGCCCCTCTAACCCAGATATAAAGCCCCTGCCCTAGTTCTGTGGTCGGCAGTTAGCTTGTAATGAGCAAGCAGCCCTGAGAAAATAACAGACGGACACATGCCACATCAATCAGTTTATCAGAAATTACAGCCAGACCTTCCATAAAAATGCCTTCTTCCCACCCAACTCCTGGCTCCAGGAAGGTGAGGGAAATCCCATTTTTCTTCTTTGGTACCTGAGGAAGACACATAGGGATGATTATGAATTTCACTCTTATCATGCTTCACCAATACAAAAAGATCCAACCAAACGTTTAACAAATTGGGCAGTTAATCCTAATAAGGATGCTCCTATCATTGTGGCTCACACTGGGCATGCGCAGTTAGGTAATCAAATCCCTTAAATTCTTCACCTGTGAGAGAGCTATACAAGTGTAGGAGAAAGCTTCAGAATTCAAACAGAGAACATAGACAGCATGACAGACCTCCCACTGTTAAATATTCATTATCAGCTCTAGTAATAAAAATAACATCTAAACCATTCCAAATGCAGTTGCTACCTAGCAACCTGCCCACCTAAAAGCCTTTTGAGTTTACTTCTTTTCTAAAATCTTCCTTTCCTATGAAATTCTCTTTTCTGCCTACTTTTATTGTGGTTGTGGCTTTATTTTGCATTTAGGGACAGGTCTCCGATTTTAGAAGTCTGGATCCCCAAACCAAGGATGTTACACAATGCATCTCAGCACTCTCCCATCCTATGACATTTTCTCTTGGGCAACCCATTTTCCAGGACCTGCTCCCTGCTTGGGAGCTCTGTTCTGCCTTGGGAGCTTTATTCTTCCTTTATTCCCTCTCTTATTAACTCCTCTGGCTATCTCCTCTCTGTTTCATGTCTCTAATTCTTCTTGAGTATAAGATCCCATGTCCTGTTGAAGATGCTGGACTGATGGCATCTGCACCACTTCATTCTTGAATCAAAAATAAGCACGTAATTTTGAAATATTTCTACCCTTTAGTGAGAATATGATACACTTGTACAAAATTTTGCTCTCTAATGCAGCCACATGCACACAGAAAATTTACATTATTATTTTCTTTTTATTTCTGTTTCTTTTAAACCATCATGTTACTTAGCTTGCAAAGTGAATATTCCAACATGTGTACATTTCTCACCAGTCCAGTTCACTAGAAAGTTATCGTCAATAGATAATAATCCATTTCTTATTGAAGCTATATGGACCTTGGAGATCATCTGGCATAAATATTTCATGTTAGGTTCAAAGATGCTAATCTCCACAAAAGTTAAAGATTACTTCTTGTGGGAGGCTGCACACCAGCGAGTCTGCCGAGGTTTCTCAGAGAGCAAACAATTGCCATGATTGGTTCCCTTCCAAAAACCTGACCTTCAAAACCTTGCTCTGATTGGCCACTAGAATCCCTCAAATTTGCATATCCAACACCTCATGATTGGTCCAAAAGCAACCAATCATAACCCACCGTTAACAACCAATCAGGGCCCACCATTTACAACCAATCACAGTCCACCATTTACAACCAATCGCGACCCACCGTTTACAACCCACCAGAGTGTATATAACCACGATGCCTGGCCCACAGTAGCCAGACGACCGAGAAGACGACACAGATGACCGAGACGACGACAATGACCAGGAAGACGACAAGTGAGACGACGACAACGACCAGGAAGACGACAACTGAAGAGCCTGAAGAGCTGAAACACCACGCAGTCTCCAGACGACCCTGAAGATCCCGAAGAGCTGACACTGCATCATCTCGAGACGAACTGGGAGATCCTGAAGAGTTGTAACACTACATCGTCTCCGGACAACCCTGAAGACTTAACGGCTGTGCCACGCCGTCGTCTCTGTGCTGTACCATGCTGCCCACAATAAATGGACGACACTGTCGTCTCCGTGTTGTAACACTACGCCGCTTGTCCCGGCTCTCACTCCTTCACTCAGGAAACCTGTTCGGCTGTCCCCCCGGGTCGGGACAACTTCTGCTTGGCCATACAGTTCTAGTTTGTTAGTCAAAGTAGAGATTCCAGCAAGCCTTCCCAACCCCCAGGGATTCTCAGCACCACTCCTTCCACCTCCGCACAATGCTAACTTTAGTTCGAGTACCATAGGTACCTACTGGTACTCCATAATAGAATGTTTCTTATGTGCTCTCTCTGAAAATCGACAAGCCTTCTTCTATTTTGAGTTTGCCCCCATGTGAAATCTATCATCAACACGTTCTTTATCTTTTTTTTTTTTTTGAGAGGTTTTCGCTATAGGGCGCGTGCACTCGCCAGACAGACAGAGAGAGACATAGAGATAGAAAGCGAGAAATCACTCCCCAGGGGGGATGGTCACACCGCAATCCCTTCTCCTCCATTCTCCTCTCAGGATCTTGGGCACGCACGCACACGTGCCCGGCGTGAGTTTTAAGCCACCGGGTCCGGGACGTGAACCGCGGTCGACTACGTGGGAATCCAGCGACATAGCCATTACGCTAACTACTGGTTCCCACGTTCTTTATCTTTTCACAGTCCAAGTTTTGCTCTATTTTTCCTACTATAAAATTAAACTGAGAAATTATCACCATACTCATTTTCCCTGCCACAAATTTCTTAGCTCAGCAGATCACCCTGAAGAGTGCTACCAGGTAGCTTTCATTAAATGATTATTTTTTAAGGGTACATGCACTAGCCGGAGTGAGACAGAGAGAGACACACACACAGAGATAAGGAAAATGAGAAATCACCCACTGGGGATGATGGCTATGCCACAATCCCTTTTCCTCCATTCTCCTCTCAGGATTTTGGACACAGGTGCCCACTGTGTTTTTCTAAAAACCAGATGCAAGACTCAAGCCACACAGTAGGCTTTGTGGGATCCAGCCACCTTAATCTCCATGCCAACTGTTGGGCCTATGAAACGACATTTTATCATAGAATTTCTCAGTCCTCTAAAGTATCAATAAAATTACGTTCCCAGGTTATACAGAGATGCAACACTCCCTAGATATTTATGCGAAGTATTCCTAACATTTTCGATAGCCTGTCATTCTGACTTAAACATGTTTTGTGACATATTGATTTGTCTGCTATTGTTCTCCCAACCAAGTTTATCAAGCCCGTTTTTTATTTCTAACCAAGTCACACACATTATTCAATGACAGTTTAACTGTCAAACTATCATTGAGGTTTACCTAGATTATATCAACTCACAGAACTCCCAATTGCAATATCTATTTTCTTTTTACACCTGCTTAACACTACTTGGCAATGTTATTTACTTACTCATATATGTATGTATGTGTGTGTGTGTATATATATATATATGTATATATATGTATGTATGTATATATGTATGTATGTGTATATATGTATGTATGTATGTATATATATATATGTATGTATGTATATGTATGTATGTGTGTATATATATGTGTGTATGTGTATATGTGTATGTATGTGCATATATATGTATGTGTGTGTATATAAATGTATGTATGTGTATATGTATGTATGTTTGTGTATGTATGTGTATATATGTATGTGTATATATATGTATGTATGTGTATATATGTATGTGTATATATATGTATGTATGTGTATATATGTATGTGTATATATATGTATGTATGTGTATATATGTATGTGTATATATATGTATGTATGTGTATATATGTATGTCTGTATATATGTATGTATGTGTATGTATGTATATGTATATATGCATGTATGTGTATATATGTGTATGTATGTGTATATATGTATGTCTGTATATATGTATGTATGTGTATGTGTGTATATATGTATGTATGTATGTATGTGTATATGTATGTATGTTTGTGTATGTATGTGTATATATGTATGTGTGTGTGTATGTGTATGTATATTTATATCTCACGTGGTTCTATATAAATCTTGGGCAAAAGAGATTTGTGTCTTTTTTCCTGTATTCCCTAAGAACTTAGACCAAGTCAGTATTTTTTTCTCAAAGAATTATTTTATTTACTTATTTTTATTTGATCATAGAGGAGCAGAGTGAGAGAAAGAAAGGGAGGGAAAGTGAGAAAGCAAATTTCCAGGCCTGAGACTCGAACTGCAATTGGCCAAGTTGGAGTCCAGCACCTTTAACCACCATGCCACTTGCTGGCTCCCAAGTCAGTTATTCTTGCTCAATGAATATTTACAAACTGCCATGTATAAGGCCTGGTATTCAGCTAGGCTTTGGGGATACTTCAATAAACCAGAGAACCACAACCAATTTTTCAAATTTATGTTCACCTACAATATCTATCACTACAATGCACTAAGGGCTCTCATTCTGGCATCATTTATGAGGATAGAAGCAAATAATAACCATGAAAAATTAGGGGCTGGTAGGTGGCAGAACAGTTAGGGCACTGGATTCCCACAAAGTCGATTGCTGTGTGAGTCTCGGACCTGGTGGCTTGCTTTCACTCTCTCTATGTCTCTCTCCGGACAAATGAAAGAATTATAATATGTAAAATTAAGTAACTGTTTAAAAATGAAAACTTAGATATTCAAAATAAGTAACAGAATTGTAGGGTTAAGATTGCATTGTTAATGAACATGTGTACTAGGTACTTCCTTTTATAAAAAGGTGGACAGAGCTTGTTTTCATACATGTATTTAAAATGTTACACGAATAAATTAAAGAAGATAGAGACCAGCAGATGGTGTAATGGTCACATTGCTGGGCTCCTACATGGTCGACTGTGGTTCTCATTCTAGTCCCAGTGGTCTGAAACTCACACCAGGTACATACCCAAAATTCCAAGAGGAGAATGGAGGAGAAGTGATTGCAGCATGGCCATCACCCCTGGGGGTGATTTCTCACTTTCTGTCTCTCTGTTTCTTTCTGTCTCTCCAGTGAGTACACACGCCCTATAGCAAAAATCTCTCCAAAATAAAGTAAATAATAATAATCTAGTTAATATATTATGAAAACATAAAGGTAGCAGTGAAAGAGAAGGGATAGATTTCATAAACATTGGAAAGGCAAACTTTCAGGAATGAGCTTTAGTTGGCTACAGCTGCAATAATTAAGCAATCTAAGATGACTTTTGCATATTCCAAGATTGTTCTTAGTCAGTGGCGGGTATGGACTGAAATAGTAACAGGTAACTGCCTTGGTCACTTAAAATGATAAATAATGTGAAGGGAAAGTTAGCACTCAGCATAGAGAAACAAGTTGAGTTCTAAGGGCTATAATGAGAAATTCCAGACCTCTAAAATACCCCAGGTAGGAAAGCCAGTCCGCATGGATGCTAATCCTTGGTTTGGTATCTTGCAACCCAGCACTTGCAAGGTAATGAACTAAGCCATGCCTTTTCATATTGAAATCAACTAAACAGAAAAGAAAATGCATCTGTTACTCTTATGCCTTTTGTGGAGAGAGACAACACATCTTCACCAAATGCCTGATAAATCTGTTAATCTTTTTACTTTTTATTTTTTTAGAAAGGTTTTTGCTATAGGGTAGTGCACTTGCCAGAAAGACCGAGAGAAACAGAGAGACAGAAAGAGAGAAATCACTCCCCAGGGGGCATGGCCACGCTGCACAATCCTTTCTCCTCCATTCTCCTCTCTGGATCTTGGGCACACATGCACACGTGCCCGGCATGAGTTTAAGTCACGGGGTCTGGGACTCAAACTGTGGTCCACTACATGGTAGTTCAGCGACAAAGCCATTATGCTAACCGCTGGTACCTAAATCTGCTCATCTTGAACCCAGCAGCCCTAGGTCAAGAATTCTGAGTATTTTTCTAAAAGATTTCTTCCTGCTACTCTTGAATTTTCTGACTGCAGAAGGGTTGCTAAGGACAGAAGAGGGGCAGGAACAGAAGTGTTTAGGAGCGAATCCCCTCAACCGCTAACTTTACCCCATACCCCTGAGAGCCTTGTTGTCACCACGCTGGCATTGCCCTGCAGACCTGAGCATCTATGGCCGTTCCAATTTGCTCTTTAATTCTGAGCCTAATTAATTCAGAGGCCTCTTCTCTGAAACAGAACACTCGTTCCAGCTACCTCCTGAGCATTCTGAATCTTGATATCTTCTCCCTCCTCCTCCTGGTACTACCCAAATATGAGATCGGATATTTACTTCCCTCACCAGGTGGTGGTAGTGAGAGAAGAGGAGAATTCCGCTTTTCACAGGGGAAACGCGTAGGATTTTCCCCCAGCCCTCTAGGAGGGGATGGGGGCGGTGGCAGGAATCCTCTGAGCCGCTAACAGCGCTGAAGGCATAAAGCCCGGTGACGTCGCCCTCACGTGGTAGCGAGTGGAGTTTACAATCGCGGTAAGGGGCCAGCGGCTGCGGGTCTCTGGCTCCCACCCTGCAGCACCAACATCTGTGCTCCGGAGCCAGGGTAAATATTAGAGCTGTGCTGGAGGCTGGAAATGACCCGGGTGGGGAAGGTGGCGTGAAGACAGAGGAGAAAGAGATCTGAGAAGGGAGGGAGGATGCTCATGCTCATTCGGCTCCTGACACTCTGGCGGGGTCCATCACCTCCCTAAGTGCAGACTGGTAGTTGGTTTTTGCTGCTGCCCCTTCCAGCACGCTCCTTATCTTTCCCTTACTGAAACGCTTTACTACCCTTAGAAGACAAATTATTCTGTGTGTGTAAGATCCACTGAGTCAGAGCGGAAATTGAAGTCAGCTCTCAACCTGGCCCTTCATGAGGTCAAATTAAGAACTTTACTTTCTTGTTAATATTTTGAATGCACGGTTATTAACAAGCTATAACAATGAAACTGGGGCTATTGTCCTTTCAAACTTATTGGCTTCTAGGATGAGAAACATGAGAAGATAAAGGCGTGACCCCAAATCCATTTGGTCAGCGCTCACCGTGTGGGAAGACTACTTATAGAAATAATCTTTAAAGGAATGTGGGTTAGAGTCCTAGTTAAGGGATTGGGAATCTTGAAAATATGTTGTGATTTTCTTGCAAAGTCAGTCAACCAACAGGTAATGAACTTCTTTAAGAAGTCCACTTTTTTTTTATTAGTGTTTAAAGAAAATACCAAAACGTGGAAACATTATGATCTCAGAATGAGAGTGTGGTTGCTCTAGTGAGATCAAATAACTGTTAGAGAACAATACTAAACAGTTGATTTGTTTCAAGTTCATGACAGATGATAAATACTATCTGTAAAGGTATTCCTCACATCTTTTTAAAAATATTCTTTGTTCCTGTATTCTAGGGTTATGAAAACAAACACCATGCTCCCTCTAAGTTACCCTAGGAGAACCATGTCATTTTGTTAAAACACCTGCAGGAAAGGACGCAGCACATTTCATCGGTAAGTAGCGAGACATTAAAAATGGTAGCCAAATTCTCTGTTATATGTTAGTGTTGGGTTAAAAGAATAAAATACAGGGAATGGGAAAACATAGATTTCCTGAAATACGCTCTCACCGACAGTGCCACTGCTTTTGTTGAGGCAGCAAAGATGATTATCGGTTGCATGGTGGAGGGTATGAGAGAAGACAGCAGCAGAGAGGAGCATGAGGTGCCATGGTCGATGGACGTACGAGTCATCTAGTGCAAACATATCGAGTGACTGGGCACGCAGGTCTTCAGGCTCATGCCTTTGCCTTTCCGTGAGCTGATGATAGAGCAGTCAGATCATTTTTCCAGGGTTAGCCAGAAAGTCTGTAATAGGAACAGACCTTGGACACTCAAATCTCTCTTTAGATTATGCTGATTTTTTTCTCATGACACCTGGAATAAAAAACAGATCTCTTAAACACTTCTGAAGTTAGCAATTCAATGAAATGGCATGTGTTTATGAAAAAAAATCTTATGAACTCAGTAAACTATCAACGATCACAAATAATAATAATAAACTATTAATAATTTCCATGTATTTATTGAGTTTGGTATGTGTATTTTATGAGTATTGTATCAGGTTTTTATTTTTTAAGAGATTTTTGTTTGAGGGTGTATGCTCTTGCCAGAGAGAGAGAAAGACAGAGAGAGGGAAAGTGAGAATCACCCCCCCACCACAGGGGGGATGGCCACACTGCAGTTCCTTCTCCTCCTTTCTGCTCTTGGGGTCTCGTGCTTGCGTGCACATGTGCCCAGTGTGAATTTTAATCCACTCCATCCGGGACTTGAACCATGGGCAGCCATGTGGGAGTCCAGCAATGTAACTGCTACACTATTTGCTGGCTCCAGGTGCTTTGCATATATTGCTCCTTTCCGTTTCCAAAGTAACTTATGATGTGATAATCCATATTTTACCTAAGAGACAACTGACGCTCAAAGAGGATTTTCTAGACCTGATGGCTCCCAAACATTGTATATTTTTTTTAAAGAACTATTTATTTATTTATTTATTTATTTATTTATTTATTTATTTATTTAATTCCATTTGTTATTATTATTATAATAATTATTATTATTTTAATTTGACCAGAAAGAGAGAGAAAGCAAGAAAGCAAGCCACCAGGTCCAGGACTCAAACTGTGGTCAACCTTGTGGGAACCCAGCACCTTTAACCACCACACCACCTGCTGCCTATCCCAACATCACATTCTTAATCAACGCAGGTCCTTGGTAACTCAGGTAAGTCATAGAAAGCTGAGCCATTGGGGCCAGCAGGTGGCATGGTGGTTAAGGCAGCTGGAATCCCACATGGCTGACCATGGTTTAAGTCCTGGACCTGGCAGCTTGTTTTCTCACTTTCCTTCTCTCTCTTTGTCTCTCTCTGGTCAAATTCAAAATAAATTAAAGTAAAATAAAATAAATGAATAAAATTTTTAAAAAAATAGCTGAGCTGCAAGATCCTGGTTACCTGCCCCTTAATTAAGAAGTCTTAAGTGGTGAGTATGTAAATATCAGGACAAAAATCAGTTTTCAGATTTTATGTGCCTAAGCAGAGAGGAGCGCTGGTTAGAGAAGGAGGGCATTCTTACTCATGTTTAAAAAAGTGTGGGAACAAAATAACACCCAAGATAATACCGACAACTGGCAATGAAATTTGAGGATTTGTATGAAAAATACCATTTCTGATATTTGTTGACGTAGATTTATTTGCACGCCCAGAATTTCAGAAATATGTTCTGCTCTAGTGTTCTCGCTCTCCACTTTTTTCCTTCCTATAGATAACACCGATGTTTCATCCTGCTTTGAGAACCAAGAGTAAGTAATAACTCATTTATTTTAATGTCAACGTTTTATTGTACCGATCATTTTTATTTTGCCAAGAGTAAAGTGGTATACTTTTATAAGTTGCCTGTGATATTTCAAAACTTAGTAAAGTTTTATTGAGAATTATCTCAAGTTAATTTGACTCACTTAAAGGTAGGACAACCTACAGTACTATTACAACAAATTTAATATCAATTTGATACTTAAGAGAATTTTACTCTAAAAATCAAAAAATAACTAATTCCTCTGTTTGTGACCTTGAAAGAATTATACTACAACTAACTTTAACAGAAAAATTTGAAAGTATGATTATGAGTGTATTTGGTGTATGCTTGTACATTTTAAAAATAATTAATTTTATTTTTATTATTATTATTGACAGAGATTTTTCTATAGGGTGTGTGTGCTCACCAGAGAGACAGAGAGAAAGTGAGAAATCACCCTGCAGGGTGTAGGGCATGCCACAATCCCTTCTCTTCTATTCTCCTCTCGTGATTTGGGGCATGCACTCACACACTCCTGGCATGAGTTTCAAACCACCGTGTCCAAAACGGAAACAGCAGTCAGCAAAGTGGGAGCAGAGGCTTAACCACCATACCACCTGCCAGCCCTGCAAATGCTTCCATATTAATGACTTTTAGAACTATTAGTGTTACACGTAGTTTTGTAGTAATACAGGAATTATTGAGTTGTCAGAAAAGTCATGACTCATTTTTGCACAGAAAAAAAGAGAAGTACTCATGACTTCTCGAAGACTCAATATTAAAATAAAGGCAGAGGACCTCCACTGCACCACAATGACTGTTTTTTCCTGACTATGCCCTTTTCAATGTGTGTTGACTTTGGAGTCATAATTGGATGACGACTAATTGCTAATTACTCCAAAAGTTACTGTTAAGATAGATTAATTAAATGTTCTAAGCCTCACATACGTCATCTGTAAAATATAGTCAGGCCCAATAAGGTTTGAGAATGAAAGTCCACGTCGTATTTTATCATAAACCATTGGCAAGTATTTGTCATTCTCCCCTTTATGGGTGCATCAAGTGAACATTTCATACAAGCAAATACCGACCTAATATTTACAGGTCAGTGAGGCCTGATCAGTTATGCACGTACATTTTTTTTGTCATTTTCTTTACATCCAAGAATTTGGAGGTGCCCACCTAACAGCATCCCTTTAATTTACTAAGCAAGTGTTTTCTATGACTAACAGCAGGACAATGAAAGCTTCCTAAACTAAATGGTCTTATTGCTTCATCTAAAGGACCTAGAGTTTTTGACTCATTGAGGAAGGACAGTGTGGGCGATGAAATGCTGAGTATCTTTTTGAAAGATGAAGAAAATATTAAACAATCTCTGTACCAAATCATGGATTGAGCAACTGACACAAGCTAGATTTTTCATACATTTATTGTATTTATACTTTTCCTATACCGGGAAATCTAAAAATATAGCAATTAAAACATAACATTTAATTGTTCCGTTATAGAAATAACCACTAATAAAGTTTGTACTTTTATATCCATGTCCTTGCACTACTGGAATCTTTTTAAAGTGTGTTTATTTATTAATTCCATGAGCAAGAGAGACAGAGGGAAGGAGAGAGCGAGAGGGGTTCCTCCAATAGGTTCTTCATGCTACAGTCCACCTCAGCTTCACAGTCCCAAATCCTGCGCTCGTGTGTCCCCTGTGTACTTGGCATTTTGCAGAGGTGAACTCAGAACCTTCCTATGTGGGTCAGACTTGCAGAGCATCACGTTCACTGCTGTTCCACCATCTGGCCCCCAGCTCTGGAATTTTGATTCTTGTCTGGTGTAAAGAAAAGAAAAAATACTTCTACTTCTTGTAGAGAATAAAAAAAAAAAATCAAGAAATGATACAGATTGAAAATAAACTTTCCCCAAATTGTTGAGGTGAATAAATGAATACCAGTGTCATAATAAGCTCGGAGGAAGTCTTATTTTCTACATTTTGTTTCTGATGATCTGAGAGCAACAGACCTCACCTCATGCAGAGAAGGGAGTATGCTCCTAGACATTATAGATATACCCCAAGAGTATCAGTCAGGTATTGTAGTTCATTTCTGTTGTCTCCTAGTGAAGACAGAGTTAATGCACATGTGGTGATTATTTGCTTGTTAACCTTGTTCATGAATTTGGTACTCACAGTTCCTTCAGCATAACCAAGACAATTACATTGGTTTTCCCCCATTTGAGTAAGAAGTTCATAGATGACTTTTTCAATCCATACTTTTGTTTTCTTCAATGGTTTCCAGCAATGGCTTTATTCCCAGTGGTGCTGTTTCTGCTGACTGTGCTGCTTCCACCTTTACCTGCTGAGGGAAAGGTAAGGTTAAAATGATGAATCTTTTCAGAACTAGCCGGCAACGAGTGGGATGGCAAGCTACTTTAGGAGGTGAGAAGGCAAGTGTTTGGGAGATCCCAGGTTTGGATTGTAACTCAGAGCACTTAACACAGTTATCAAGATGGAAGACAAGGGTGTGCTGTCCAGCGGGTAAACCATCAGTCACATGAAGCCACTGAGCACTTGTGATGAAGTTGGAGGATGACAAGATGAACTGCAGGTGTCAGAGAGCCACCAGATTTCATACACTGAAAGCAGAACAAAAGCTCAGTACTCGTTTTTATATCGAATACAATTTGAGATCATAGTTTCATATTTAGTTAAATACTATATTAGGTTCTTAAGGCTATTGTAACAAATTACCAGAAACTTGGTGACTTAGAACAACAGACATTTATTCTTTCACAGTTACTGAGGCCAGAGTCTGAAGTCAGGTATCTGCAGGGCCATGCTTCCTCTAGAGGATCTGGGAGTGATCCGTTCCATGCATTTCTACGAATTTCTGCAGCTCTTTGGCATTCCTTGGCTTGTGGCTGCCTCACCACAATCTCTGCCTGCATCTTCACGTTATCCTGTTCTCTCTGTGTGTTTATTTTATTTTTTTATTTTTTAAGTTTATTTCAGTGGAGAGAAAGAGAAGACACCCCTATTAGGGTCTTCGTGTAGCATTCTACCATTATTCTCCAACCACCAGGATCACAGGCACATGTATGTTCATTCTCAGTGTGGACAGGGAGTCCTCTGAAGGTGAACTAGGGACTGTCTCATATGGCTTCAGCATTATGGAACATTGTGTTGCTGTTGTGCTGCCATGACAGGCCTCCGCGTGTCTCTCCAATTATGAGAGACACACAGAGGCCATTGGATTTAGTCTCCACTTTGGATAATCCAGGATGATTTTATCCTGAGATGAGATTCTTAGTTTACCCTTTTTTTTCAAATAAGATTATATTTAAATTCTGGGCATTAAGCTTTGGACATTTATTTTTGGAGATCACAACTCAATTCATGACCAATAAAATACCTTTTCAAAAATAATTCTTGGTGGGACCAGCAGTTAGCGTAATGGCTATGTCGCTGTACTCCCATGTAGTCAAACGCAGTACATGTACCGAACCCGGTGGCTTAAAACTCACACTGAGCGCATGTGCGTGCGTGCCCAAGATCCCGAGAGAATGGAGGAGAAGGGATTGCGACGTGACCATCCCTCCTGGGGGGTGATTTCTCGCTTTCTGTCTCTCTGTCTCTGTCTGTCTGGCGAGCACA